GGCAATATCTTCCAATCGAACGGCACTCACTAAGCAGATCAGATTAGAGATCTATCAATGGACCAGAAACCATTATGCGGATAAGACCCGTGGAGTGGAAGCGAGTGGAGCCCCAAATGGAGCCCTCACACTTCAGATTGCCAGAGCCCCAATTAAATGTTGCCTCATCGAGTTGAGTACGAAACGGAACGGAAACAAGCAAGGATAATCAAATGTGCCATTTGTATATATATGAGATAATTATATAACTCTAATTAACAGTATAGAAATGTATAATAAATAGATATTAAGGATCCTAACTATTTTTCAAATACTTATTAAGTAAAGGAGTTCTTTAAACAAATATGTTATTTAAGATCTCTACAATTTTTATAAGAAGGTGAAGAAGGGAAAGTGAGAAAACAGATCTTCTCAGCCATCCAAATATTCCCGGAAAAGAGTCAACGCCATAAAATTACACAACATTTATCAGACCCCAATGACCTCAATACTCTCTGATTGAAAGCCACTCACCGCCGTTTGCTTTTCCCATTTCCCAGTCCGAGTTTCCCAGGATCTCCAAGCCAAGGCCGGCCTACAAATTAGTTCCAAAGGATAAGAAAATATTACGGCGATCATGAATGGCATTTACAGCCATCGACACTGGACCCGAGTCCCCGAACCTCGGAATCCCCGACTGCCCGAATCCCAGCCTCTTGTAAGAAACAGGAAAATATCTCACGCTGCTTGTGTGTGAGAACACACTCGCACACACACTCGCACGAACACAGTATACAGTATACAGTATCGATAAAAATTGATTGCATATTTACAGTAATCCCGAAAAGGTCTCCGGGCAATTCCAGGAAGCATCTTTGAGATGCCGCAGCCGAAAAACCCAAGCAGATCGAAGTGGGATGGGTGCGTACGTATATCGGATCGGATCGGATCGGTCAGGAATGAGGACTGAAATGTGTCGTCGGGGCATCCGTACTTGTTTGCAATCAACACATCACTTCCCACACTTGACGACGCGGCAATCGATCCTTTGATATTGGCACACCCACACACCGCACACCACACACATGCCGGAATGTCCCGTTCGTCCACTGAGAGAAACCAATCAGTTTTGTATAGCAAGTATTACTAGGGATTATCACAAATCAATGTTTGTTTAATTTGATTTTTCATCATTTTCTTGTGCGTGTTAACAATAAATAATGTTTGGTACTTCACCAATTTTGATTTGGTTTAATAAAAAATAATATATTATTTATATATAATGATAACTTATTCTTTTTAGTATTTCTCAGCTATAAGCTCCCCCTATTTTTCTTCGTGCACCCATGACTCGTCCTAATCACTTCACATTTGTATTCATTCTGTAATCTGTGGCACAGGAAGTTATTGTCAGCGAAAATGATTACAGGCTGACAAAATCACAAGTGTCCATGGTGGTCCGCCCCTGCGTCGCTCCGCCTTTCCTGGAAAATCGATTCCGAGGGCCAAAGAAAACACTGAATGCTGGTGACCAAAAGAGAGCCAGCCCAATCCAATCCAACTGAAGGCGATCCGATCCGATCCGATTTCAAATGGCTCGACTCAATGACTTCTACGAATTTCGCAAGGCGAACCACTGGCACCACTTGCACCACAGCCGCACCACTGAAATGTCGCACGCAGAGCTCGGCCCAGCGGGTTGGCCAGACTACGCCGACTCGGGTTCAGAACGGCCGGCATTATGTGCCCAATTTGTTTGTTGTCGATTCACTTTTTGAAATCGCCGCCTACAATGCAGTCGCATTATTAATCCCCGTTCGCCGGACACTTGAGAACTTCGATCTGGTCCGTTTTCCGTCTGGCCAATGTCTGTCTTTATCTTTGTGGGAATGCGATTGCGGGGAGTTCCCATTATTGGAAAGGCGTCAAAAGAAAGTTCAGTTATGAGTAAAAAGTCACACAGTGGGTCTGGAAAATGTATACTTATGTTGCGTAGATAATTCTGTGATAATGTGATAACAAACGAAAAATGACTAAAAATACCATGGATTAGGAAACACAAGATGAGCTCTTAGTCAATCGTAGCAATCTGAAGAATTAATTCCAGGAAAATAGTTCCATAATCGATTCATTGTTCTCATCAAACTGAAACCTTAGCCGTAATTCGCTCTATGAACAGTCAAGATGGACTGCATTCTTGATGCCCCACGGAGAATGCGAGGTGTCAAGAGTTTAATTTTCAATAATCCCCAATCGGGGGACTTGCCACACCTCCTCCCCCCGTTCCCCCGCTCCCTCGCCCCTTCAGCCCCACGTTGGGCGCTGTAAATTGGTTTCGCACCCACCGACAGCGCCAGTCGCCAGCCAACTTTGTTGGCCAACTCTTTCTCACATTCTCGACCAGGTTCGAAATTCGAATCGACTCTCTCCCCCGTGTTTGCTCAGCTTTTGAAGTTGCAGCGACAACATCATCACCATCGCCATCGCCATCGCGGCATTGTGCATTGTTGTTATGTTAAGTGCGGCTCAGCCACAAATCGACGTTCCTTCGGATAAGTGCACAGAAAGAAAAGGGTGAGATCTATTTTAAACTAAACACTGAATCGTAACAAGTATAGAATTTAACTTGGGTGCCATGGAGATCTTAAGAGGTTTGTAACTACTTATAAAAAGAAGTGTGCATAGGTATCCTGTAATAATTAAGATATATTCCCTTTGTTATGTTATGATGTAAGTTTTTAATTTATATTATGGTTATTGGTAGAATATTTTTCTCTCTGCAACATCTCTGCCTTTTTGTTTGAGTCTCCGTCTGAGTCTAAGTTTAAGTTTGAGTTTGAGTCTGGGTCTGGCTGAATTTGAATATGAAAAACGTGGTGCGTTGTTGTTATTGCTGTAGTCGCTCATCGCTGGAATGCGTGGAATGCAGTTTTCCCCACTGAACCCACACCCTTTTCCTCTCCTCAGCTCTTTGTTATCAGCTGCTGTGCCCTCATGCGCTTCTAATGCCATGTTGGTCCAGCGGTACACTGTCAAAAAGTAGTTTCAGGTACAGTACATCTCTTTAAATATTATATAAATATGTATAATTTGAACTGAGCGAAAGGAAATTAATTTGTTTTATGCCATAGGCTGAATCTGAATTGCTTACAGTTTTTGCTAATTATTTTACACAACCAACACCCAGATTTTCAATCGGATGTCCAAGTGGCTAATCAGCAGCATCTGCATAAGAAATGAGTTTTGCCTGCAGCTTACCTAATTATTTTGCCCACCTAGCTAATTATTGTACTCGTACACTGCTAATTTTCAATCGGATGTCTAAGTGGCTAATCAGCAGCATCTGCATACAGACGCCGGCCAGCCAGCCAAAGACAAAGACAAAGGAATGGCTAATTCTTGCCGAATACGGTTGCAACCATCATCGTCTTCAGCTGCAAATGCAACTGCAACTGCAAATGCAACTGCAACTGCATTGCCCCTGCTGATCCCCTGGAAATCGCAGAGCCAGTCCAACGGCCATTTTCATGCAAGAACGCGGAAGAATGACTCAAGAACTGTGCACAATAATTCGAAAATAAATGCAGTGGAAAGCAGAAAAAAAGGAGAAATTAGAGGGGAATCCATAGGCGGAAATGGAGATACTCTGGCCATGATTTTCTACTATCAACAATATGTATTATCTAATAAATCATGCACAAACCATGCATTTAAATCAATAATAAAACAAATGCATAATAAGTTGATTTCCAAAGATTTGAACTTTAGGAATCTTTCGGATCTTTATAATATGAATTGTATAGCATCTCCTCTTGAAATCAATTGAATATTTTATTTATAGTGGAAAGACCTCTTCGAAGTGAGGGCAACAAAAAAAGCGCTTAGCGTTTGCATCTCTGCACATGCAATGCCAACTTAGACGGATGTGGATATATCTTTCTGTTGTTTTTGTTTTTCCCCCCGCTGCAATTGCTGTTGTTATTGCTGTTGTTGTTGTTGGCATTGTGCTTATTGGTCTAGACCTGTTCAACCACTGTTGAGCTGGAAGGTTGTCTGCCGTCTGCCGTCTGCCAAGTTGCCACTGTTGCCAGGAGCGGATCGGAGCCACCTTGGTCGGAATGGAATGGGCTCGGACGACTATCAATCAAAACATCAACGGCAGCCGATAGCGGCGGTTGGGGAAAGATCCGAGGGGGACACGCCGCCGATGGTCTAAGTTTAGCCCGCCTTTTGGCGATGTTCAGATGCTCAGATACTCGACTGCTCAGATGCTCAGATACTAAGATGCTCAGATGCTGATGTATCCATTGGAATAGACGACGGGCGGCGCACACACATCTGTGCCGCTGCTGATCTAACTGTCTGTGACAAATTTTATTTCTGTAGCGGATCTGTCTGCGTCCCCCTCCAACACCTCCCCCCTCCCTCCTGCCACGCCCCCTCGACCACGGGCAGAATCTAATGTCACTTCGCAGCATATTTAAAAGCACATAAAGATGTTTTAGACAAAAATAAAAATCGAAACTTCTCTGCGTCTGCGTTTGTCTCCTCCGCCAAAATGAACTGACCGACGAAGTAGCAGTGATTACACTGAGAAAATAAGTGATTATGTTACTATTACATATATGTAAGTTAGGAAAGTATAATGTCTTCCCATCCTACTTATCTTTTACAAAAAGATAACTCGATATGTATTTTCAGATTACTTTTGAATTAAAGTTTTTTAAAATTATTTAGTTCTCAATCATCTCCAACTATTTCTCCCAGTGCAGTGGGCTTCCTGCAGACGAAAACACGGTCGAAAATAGCCCGCAGACTGGCCAGACGACAGCGGATAATGTCGCAATGGTAATGGTGGCGCTACGCCAGCCAGGGCTTCCATTTCCTCTTCGGCCAGGGCTGCACAACTTCCGGCGGTTATGCTAGAAAGCTAAGTGTTCAGTGATCATTGCCTACTTACAAGCTCCACCGGAAGCGGTAAAAGTTCGGGAATTCCTGCGGAATGTGACTCACTTCGAGGTCTTCGGATGAGGCTGCAGCCCTGGTGTGCAGAAATTCGCACACAAATTAAACATTGTCTGGCGTCTCTGACCGACATCGACATCAACGTCTCGCCGGCAATTCTTCGCGCGACGCTTTCTTTGAGTAATGGACAGAGCGCAGAACACGCATACGCACACAGACGCGGTCAAGACAATAGGTTCAGGACCTCACGAAGCTATAGAAATGGATTAATATTTGTTTTCTAATATTTTATTATTATATATAATTAAAAGAAGTAACAATTACTTTAAGAAGTGGTGTTTCAATGTTTAATGCTTATTTAATCATTTTCTTTGATTCTTTTATTTTATTTTTGAGACCAAGGCCCTACTCCTTCGAAGCGGACTGTATTCAAGTGCTGATACCTCGTACCTTACCGCACTGCGACGGGAGATAGGGCACGGACACGGCTATATACATACCAGATCATTCCTAAATTCAAATTCAGATTCACTTGCCCACAAAATTAGAAATTTAAAGCGAGCAGCAGAGCGAAAGGCACACAACAATATAAAATCGCAACATTTTTCAGCGGCTAAAAGTAGCAGACAAAGGGAGAGGCAGCAACCTTAATAGATTCGCCATAAAAGCAATAAAAATGGGAGACGATCTTGTAAAATGCAGTGTTAGCATTGATTTAATGCTGCTATTTAAATACTTATATAAATCATAAATAATTTAAAATAACTCTATTTAAATTTAGTGAAAGATAATGGATGTTTGTAAAAAGTAAAAAAAAAAAACAATTCTAAAAGCCAAACAAATGTTCTGGCTCCTCAATCCACCTCTTGGTTCCTCCCCCGCAAATTTTATTTAAAGTTCTTTGGGGGGCGCTTGGCCATTACTCCGAATGCTTTTCCCTGTTTTCTCTGCTTTCTAAGAGCACTGTCTGGGAATGCCCATCGCCCAAGGCGGACGAATGCGTAGGCGTCCCCCACTTTTGGAAGACACTTTGTTGTTTGTGCAATTAAATATTGAATTACTTAAGTAAAATATTCTGTTTTGTAAAATTATATCATGAAGAATTAGCTTAGAATAAAGTAAACCTAGACTCAAATATATTATTTAAGGTAAAGTAATGCATGACTCCGTTTTCACTGCCACATATGGAGGTTTCCTTCAAATTCAGTCAGTTTTCAGAGGGCAGGGCGGCTGACTGACACAGAGATTCTGTTGTGTTGTGCCACATATGCATTCCATTCACCCACATGGGGGATGCCGAGAATGCCGAAGAACAAGAACTGGAACTGTGGCCCAATCATTACAACTCAATCATCGGTCGAAAATAGCAAGTTTCCTCCGAGATTCCGTTTCCATCCATTTCCCGTATTTTTGGAAGCCACGGAGGGGTCCAACTGCCGGAAGAGCACCCCATCGCAGCCCAGATTCCCCACTGAACACGGAACACAGAGCACAGAAGCTCTGCAGCGATCTCTCGGTGATTTAGGAACACTAAACCCGAACCGACGTGGGGGAAAGAAAATACGCACAAAGGTGAAAATCCAGCAGGAATTTCTATTTCGGGCGCACCGGAACTGAAATGCTTTCTGTCTTTATTTACAGGGGGAGGATTCCTCTGGCTCTTCTGCGTGTTCTTCCGCATGGAGGCGGAATGCCTCTTTGTGGGCGTTGAAACCCAGATTTTCGTGTAATTAAATCCGTCGAAATGGTAATAGATCCGAGTGTTTATGGCCAGACATTATTGAGCATAGCGTTTTCCTGAAAGCTATGTCACACCAAAAAATGTTAAAAATAGTCGCAGACATGCTAAAGGCATTTACAATATAATATCATTGTAGAACTCTTATTGGAATACCAAACACTCCTACCGAAATCGACCGCTTTAAAAGTTCCCAGAAAATTACGAAAACAGAAGCACCTTTGTCACAAGCCGTCTGCTTGTCTGCATTATAGACCCGAGCAGTAGCTTCTATAGGACTTGATTATAATCCGGAGATCCCGGGGTAGCACCACCCCAGAGTATTATGTTTCACTCCCGACTTCGGTTCCCATCAGAGTCAAAGGCAAAAGGCATTTCGGCCAAGGCGAAAGGGCCAAGAGGCTGCGACCGTTGATCTTTACCGATTTCCTGCCGATCGCACGTAATTGGGTGTCCCGCTAAAAAGTCATAATCACCTGTCCATCCTTTATCACGGCAAACCCATACAGACACCTTTGGGAAACCGACGCCCGAGCCCCGAAAGTTTAAAGCTCCGTAAAGCGATTTTTATGCACCAAGTGCATTTCGGACCTGCCGACCAGCCGAGAAAAACAGAGGAGAACCAAAGCGAACTTAACCGAACCGAACCGAGCCGAACGGACCAGAACAGAACAGCACAGCACAGCACAGAACAGAAAGACCAAAGACAAATTCCTGCGTTTTTCCAGGAATTCACTCAATAAACTCAAACAAAACCCAAACATTTAACAAACGAGCCCCAGCCCCATCCACAGCCACATCCACGGCCACATACACGTCCAAGCCAAACAGCACGAACAAAAAGGCAAAACCAAAACCAAAACTAAAACCAAAACCAAGGCGATCCCAGCCAGACGTCGACGAAGATGCTGACCAAGACGGAAGACGGCGAGGATGGGGAATCTTGGATGCTGATGCTCATAGTGGTGCTGCTGGTAGTGGAGGTAGAGGTGCTGGTGGGGTTGGTGGTGGGGAAGAAGACGACCAAGACGAAGACGAAGACGACGATGCGAAGCGCTGAGCAAAACACAAAATAAACCAAAAGGCAGGCGAGGAATTTCAAACAAGAACACCACGGTGTTGTCGCACTCCACGAACTTGGAGCTGTGAATGTGAAGCGGTCATAGACCAGAGTGGATGCAAAGTGGAGTATCAGACGGGGAAATACCCTTTAAACAAAGGTATTACAAATTGAACACAAGTTACAGTAAACTGAACATTTATATATTCTAACCTTTAATGATTAGGCAAAATATTATTTCATGTTTATAAATTATATTCAATTTATACATTATATCAGTTCTACAAATGGTTAGCAAAATTTATATTTGAAGAAAGAGAAATAAATCTGAATTACCTTTAAATATGATTTAGTAATCTGGTAACTATTATTTAGTTAATATATGTTCATTGAAACAGATCCCACTTTTTGGTACAGCTACTGCTACTTTCCCCTAGGACATACATATTCATTAGGTGACCGGCTACTTAATGAACCCGAATCTTCCTGAAGCCGTGGTGTCAGTTTGTGGTGCAGTGCCGAAAAGGAGACAGGAGTCGGGAGACTGGAGACAGGAGCAGGAGTCGGGGAGGTGGCCCTGGCCATTCTGGTGGGCGAGCAGACGCAGGATGCCGGATCCCATGGCCGTCTGGCTGCATTCCAAGTGCCGCAGAGCCAAACAAAACCATTCCGAGCCAAACTGAACCGAACCCGAACCCGAAGAGCAGAAAGCAGTGGCAGCAGTGGAGGCAGTGGAGGCTGCCAAACCTAATCCGACGACGACTCCGACTGCGACTCCGATGAGATGAGGAGTTGTCGTGCCAGGAGAAACAGGAGAAGCTGCCGGCAGCACAAGATTCAGCTCCCAAGCACTGCCACAAAGTATTGACACGAATCTTAACAATAAGTTTATTATGGATAAAGAAATAGTATCCAAAACTGATTAATCTTTTTGTTAATCTATTTGTTGGTCTTCAAAGATTAAAACAATTCTATAACATTTGCAAACACTATTTAATGGGTTTAACATTGACGTTTACCTTAAAAAACATATCCTGAATAATACAAAATTTGTTTTTCCCTTTAGAATTCTTTTTTGTAACTCTCAAGATATATTTTCCTCAGTGTAATGGCGCTGGCGCTGCTGGTGCGGTACTTTTGCTGCTGCTGCTGCTGCTGCTGCTTCTAAAAACTCCTCTAAAAATTATTTATTAACATGGTAGAAATTCGCAAACAGGTTAAAACGACCAATCAAAGCGGCAAGAACAACAACAGCAACAACAACAAGCAACAGCAGCAGCAGAAGCAACAACAAAAGCGGCGGCAGCCAAAGACCCAAAGTGCAGATAATATTAAAAGGCAGTCAGGCAGCCAGCCGGAGTTGCACGAGGAGCGAGGAGCGAGGCACCGAGAGGTGCATGGGGGATCTTGGGGGGATTGAAGGAAATCGGGGCATCTGGGGGGCGGAGGAGCTTTGGCCCCGACTACCAAGCCAGACACATTTCGAAAAGGGCCAACACGAAATTCCAGGGGAGTCGTTGACTCGCCTTCGCTTGGTTACTTTTCTTGGGAAAGTTTTTGTTGAAAGTTGGACAGTAACTGAATTTGCCGTTTTTGTTATTTTTGTTTTTAGTTCGCTTTTCTGCAACCGCCAGAGAGCCAAGTTGGGCTGCCGCAATGAGGTGGCTTAGAGCAGGGCAAACCAGGTTTGTAGGTGGTAGTCAATGCAGTTGCGCCTCCTTAAACTTAAAAAAGGTTTAACAAGGTTTGGGAAACTTCAATGGCTTTGCATGTCAAAGAGGTTTGTAATGTTCATGGAGAAATAATAAAATATATTATAAAGTGATATAATAATAATAGCGATTACCCCCCAATTCGAAATCAATGCAGAAATATTTGATAAAAACACATCTTTAATGGCATTATCAATTTCTTTGTCGGGAATTTTTGGAAATTCCCTTTCCTGGTAGTCGAAGTTATGCCATTCCATTCGAAATGCGCCCTTCCTGACCAGCGCACAAAAAAAAAGCAAGAACCCAACGAAAACCAACAATTTGACAACAGAAATGCCAGGAATTTGAGGACCCTTCCATAGAAATCCGATCTCAAGGCGGCTTGTGGTCAGCGTTAAATTGGTGATTTATTTATAGCCAAATCGAATGGAATTGCCAAATGCCAATGCAGAAGGGGTGCAGCCATAGCAATTTATGGAATGCTGATACTCTTCAGACATTAATATTATTTATTTCCCACATTAAGTAGGAATTAAAAGATGATTAATTACTTTAATTGCTTGTAATAGTGGATATTTGTAGTTTTTACTTCTCCATTTCCATTTTATGGTTTAATTCAATTGTATATGATTTTTTTAAATCTCCCGCCAACCCTCTTTGCACCTTGGCGCCATCTGTTAGTCTGATTATGATAACAGTGATTGTTAGTGTTGTCATTCTAGCCATTTTATAGCTTTTTTTAAAATTTAAATCTGAATCTGAAATCCGCTTGGTGTCGCCTTTTGCTCTGTTAATTCAAACTACTTCAAAATTCAATTAACTTTTAACAATTAACTGTTGAATTGGATATCAAAACTGGAAATTATAAAGTACTCTAAAGTAAAAATCTATTTATTATTGCAGGCAAGGCGCGCAATTTAAAAACGACACAAATGGATAGCCAGAGGATTTGATAAGGAACCGGGCTCTTATCTTTTATAATATTGTTTGCATAGGCGCGTAATCAGTGCAGATTGCAAATCGATACTAATTCGACAACATGAAAGCAGAGATAACCGCAGCACCCGCTGGTCCCCCGATATAGATACAATACGACTTTAATCCGGCACAAAACACACAAACATATGTTCCCGATCCGATTCGACTCGACCCGATCCGATGCTAGCACACAGAAGCCCTCGGGTTCGGAATCCAATTCGGAATCTGGGGGCAGCAGCTGCTGGCTGATAACGAGGCGGATCGACTTTCCAGCAAAACAATAACAGAGTCGCCGACAGCTCACGTAGTACGCCGGCAGATTTCAGTCGCAAACGTTCGACGCGAGTCGAATGCGCAGAGCTCCCGAGCGGATTTGAGAGATTCCAGGCAGATACAGATACCTTCCGAACCCGGAGATGCGCAGCCTCAGCCGCTTCCGCCTCATCACCTTCGACGTGACCAACACGCTGCTCCAGTTCCGGTCGAGCCCCGGCAAGCAGTATGGCGAGATCGGAGCCCTCTTCGGAGCCAGATGCGACAACAACGAGCTGGCCAAGAACTTCAAGGCCAACTGGTGGGTGGAATGGTACACCATGCCTGTCCAACTGAACTGAAGAGGTCTCTCCTTGCAGGTACAAGATGAACCGCGATTATCCCAATTTCGGACGCGACACGAATCCCCAGATGGAGTGGCAGCAGTGGTGGCGTAAGCTGATAGCAGGTGAGTGCTGAGTGCCGAGTGTTTGTCTTCACTGCCTTCACTCGGTGATAAACAATCCGGCCTGTTCCAAAGTGCAGTTGGCATAATCACTGCCAAAGGTGCTTAGTATCCGCCACTTCTCATCAAAAGAGTCGATGAGCCGACGAAAACAGCAAAGACTAGCTTTAAAATCTAAGCCCGGTTATTAATTGTAGTTAATTTCTTAACCTGCTTTGTCATTTAAAAATCTATTTTTTCTTAGGAGTGGTTTTTGCAAACCAACTTTGTTTATAGAAGTGATCGAAAATGTGGAGATTACTATTCTCTTTTCTTGCGAACATCGCACAAGCGTCAAATTATTATCTGCTAATTTCTTGATAATCAAACAAATTATTAGCTCTATCCCCTCCGTCATTATCAATTTTAAACAATTATTTGGGTAAACAAACAGCCACTAACCTTGACCAAATCACTCCATCCACAGGCACTTTTTCGGATAGTGGAGCTGCCATTCCCGACGAGAAACTGCACAACTTCTCCAACCACCTCATTGAGCTGTACAAGACCTCCATTTGCTGGCAGCCGTGCAACGGCAGCGTGGAGCTCCTCCAGCAGCTGCGCAAGAACTTGAAGCCGGACAAGTGCAAGCTGGGGGTGATAGCCAACTTCGATCCCCGGCTGCCGGCGCTCCTCCAAAACACCAAGCTGGAGCAGTACCTGGACTTCGCGGTCAACTCGTACGAGGTGAAGGCCGAGAAGCCGGACCCCGAGATCTTCCACAAGGCGATGGAGAAGTCCGGGCTGGAGAACCTCCGGCCGGAGGAGTGCCTGCACATCGGCGACGGACCCACCACCGATTATTTGGCCGCCAAGGAACTGGGCTGGCACTCTGCGCTGGTGCACGAGAAGAGCTACGCCTATCTGGTCAAGAAGTACGGCGAGGACATCGACCGGGATCACGTCTTTCCCAGTCTGTATGACTTCCAGAAGAAGGTGTCCGACGGCTCGGTAGTCTGGTGACCGATTGTACATACATTAAAGTAGTAAAACCTTAAAGTAGTAGGTCTTCTTTTTGGGTTAAGGCACCTTCATTCATGGAGCTTTCCAATAGAAGCTATAAGTATGCGTCGGTAAAATTGCGCTTTAGCGGCTTTTGCTAAAAATGGTCTAGGAATTTTTTTTTTTTTTTTAATGGATACCTTGGGGCCTAAACATTAATAAAAAAGTGGCGGAAAGCTTGATTTCTAAGTATTTATTTGTAAAAATAGCAAAAAAAGCAACTGGCCATAGCTTTTCTGGGTATTCACTCAGTACTATAAAATCACTCTGAGTCATTTCGCAACCTTTACAGCGTTCAGTAGTAAAATTGGCAGTGCCTGACATGGTAAAATTGTTAAATTTCTTTTGTTTTTAAATTTTCACACAATTGCAGCACTCTTCATCCACAACACATTCTCAACTGTAAAGTTTTTCGCTAGAAAAACATGGCAATGTTCTAAAACGGGTTGCCTCGCGGCAGTAATAATTGCAATTTTAACACATAAATAATTAAAATTTAAGCTTTCCGCCACTTTTTTATTAATGTTTAGGCCCCAAGGTATCCATTAAAAAAAAAAAAAAATTCCTAGACCATTTTTAGCAAAAGCCGCTAAAGCGCAATTTTACCAGCTTTACTTACAACAAAATCTCGAGAATCCCTCTCCTTGGGTTTAATTTAAATAAAACACTAAGCAAACAACGCGATTTGTTTGTGTTTACTAAATTGGCAACAAGTGCAATAAACAACGAAAACCGGCGCGATCATATGTTTCTGGTAATATCGATGTACGGCGGTTCGATTTGAATCGATAAACGATTTTTGGCGAGGCGATATAACCCTGCTAGATTTCTTTTTATTTTGATCTCTTATTGTATAGTACTCATATTATTTAAGCAGTCCTTTAAACTAGGCATAATAAATAGTAATTTTATTAATTTTTTACGATTTTAGTTTTATTCATCTCATGTTCTCGACGTAACAAAATTCACCACGATGTGTTAGCAAAGAACACAACCACACGTTTATTCAACTGTCAAACCGTTTTTTATTATAACTTAAGAATTAACAAATGTAACGACATTTCCAATTTCAAAATTATTGAAGGCAATTCATAAAACGGGGGTCTTAAATCAATTAATTACCCTGCATATTAAAGTTATTAAACATTTTTATTTAATGTTTGTAATTATAAGCTCTTAAGCTTAAATGCATACAAATTGGAGGTAAGTAAACTCGTTATCGAATAACTAACTACTTGTACTGGCCACCAGGGTGCTTGGCTGTCTTATCTTATCCTGCCAAACATATGTTTATATTTGGCATGCAAAAAACACCGTTATCAGCTAAAAAGCACTTTAATTGATTGGAAACTGGCACAATTGGATCAGGTAAGTGCCCATCATAAACCTAGGCTGTCATAAGTTTCAATTGCTGCTAATCGGGGGTAGTAAAAAATAGGAGGTAAACCAGTACCCCGAGATAGGAAAACAAAGGACTTCAGTTGAATTTGAGATTAAGGAGGTAGATAAACGTTTGAATGGTATAGGTCAATACGAAGGAGTATTGACTACGTTCAAGAAAATTACTTTTTTATAACGCAACAAAACACAAGGTTATCTTTTCGTATGTGATTATTTTGAATCAAGGTAACTTACAGATCCATTGTAAAATAGGTACGTGCAATATATAAGGGTTAAATAGCACACTTTATTGTTATTTCTTTCGCACTAACTAGAAAACATTGTTTTATTGTTAACGGACTTGGATGCATGGTAGAAAAAATATAGTGCGGGTGGCTCTCTCGTCTCTCTCGGGTTCGGTGAGAGAATTTTACCGATTGAGAAAACGTAGCCCGACGGCTTTTAACCGATTGTAAAGTTTGAATAAAAATCGAAAACATAACAACACGAGTTTTCAAATGCCATTACTTAATAAATGCCATTACTAATATTAATATTTTTTACCCAAAGATTAAGGACTAGTGCAATAGGTTTTATATTACCCTTCAGGGGCAAAAGAATTATTTCTTGCAAGGGAAATATTATCCTAGCGATTCTGGGGTGTTTCCATCAGAAAATCCAACGATGATAATCAAATCAACACTTAATGATAAGAAAGGCAATTTAAAGCCCCATGCACTGCATAAGGGTTTATGAAAACATACTCTTTGTAGGTATCGTTTAAAGACTCACAGACCCGACGAGACTACCCAATACACATTTTACCCCATACTATATTTAACCGTCGAACGGCACGACTTGGCGTCAATTGCTCACCACGGATTGGAACGAACGGAACTCGGCAATACGCGGTACACTCCGGCGCTTTATCACTAAAAAAAACCAAAACATTCTAAACGCGAACGCAGCTGTGGATTCAGATACAATTCAGATAATTTCGTTTACCCATTTGCGTGTGACACTCGCCTTGGGCCAAGTTTGAGTTACTTCCAAGTTTGCATTATTGTAATTAGCCTGTCGTTCGACTACGAAACGAAACGAATATAAGATATAAAACGCAGAATAATTGCGGTGGAAATAATGTGCGCGGCTAAAAGCGCTAACGTAACGGCTAAATAATAGTAGAAAGTTTTTTTTATTGTTATCTCTTCTTCTGAGCCGCAGCTGCCAAAAACTAAATAACCAAAGCAAAAGCTCGAAATTTTGCGTGTGAACAGAAAAGAAATCCGTTTCGGCCCCATCTCTCCAAATTTATGTGTTTGTGTGCATAGCTTACAAAATTGGCAACGTTTAGCGGCCGCTCCGTCCATAAACCCAAATAAATAAGATACTCCGCAGCCAAAACACAAACAAACCAAAAAACAGCAGCAAAATGTCCGGCCCACTGCCCGAAATCAGCGAAGAACAACGTGCGATATTGGAGCAGGTGAGAATTGAAAGTTGGAAGGGGATTCTCTTGGCTTCCCCAAGGGGAGATAAGAAGGTATTTGCTTGGGGATTTCGCCCAGAAAGATGTTGCAGATAATCTCCCCAATTAGGTAATGTTTACCCACTATGCTGGACTCCCGGGGACTATTTCTTATAAAAGAGTTTTGTCTAGGGAAAACTCAGATAACTAATTGATTTAATTTTTTGGGAATTGTACTTTCTTTGAAGAAAAAGTTATAGACATATTAAGTCATAACATCAAAGCCTTATAAAACTGTATATCGAACTTAAGTAAATGGTAGTAAAAAAAGTGATATGATCGATACGATTTTATTAGATTTAGATTTCTTCCACTACACCTGCGTTAAATAGTAATTACGGAATTGTAATGTATTTATAATTACCATCTAGAAATTCATACAATGCATTTGTACAAAACTCGTTTAATAGCAATCGAGAATTTCCCAACGGCTGAGTAACCCAGATTTATTCTAAACAAAATAAAACAGAACAGTCATCGTGCAATCAGCGAAGCATCGATGTCTGGTTATGGAAATTACAACTGCTCGCTTGACTTCCTCCACAAATATTGGCAAATTCTATCAAATATAAACGCACTGTTTTAAAACTGCGGCAAGAGCAGCTGCCAAAGTATAAACAACATATTCTCTTATACCTTGACGATGTCAGGGGTTTACTCGGGATATTTTAAAGGGGGATAAAGCTACTTAAACATAATTCAAGTCGATGCAATAAATGTTTTGCTTTTTAAACATACAAACAAAAGAAATAGCAACTCAAATAATTAGTTGTTAGGACTCAATTTAAATGTATCTGTTTAGAAACGACTTCAAGAGTGGTTTTAACCCCCGGAACCCCCGTGCCTTCTCCACTGATGACTGTATCTGCAGTTGCGCATTGTTGACTCTCGTGTGTTCTTGGCTGGCACACTAAAAACCGCTTGCGAAATCGAAAACTCAGCTGAAGCCGACCGGTGACACACAAACCGAACAGTTCAATAGTGTTATGCAAATAAATAAAGCATAAATAAAATAGCCAAATGAGGAACTGAACTACTTACTCCGTGAATAATTTATTTTTCCTAATGGGTTTATTAAGACCCCACCCTTGCCCTTTTTAATTGCCCGTAGGATGCTAAGTGCGACTGCCATTTCATGGCACAATGACAGCGATTACCAGTTTAAATAAACATGAACTGGCTAATGATTAATGCGGACGAGTCGTTAAGTGGAGAGCGTTGATCCAGAACGAAATCACCCGGAGATCGGACCTTAGACCCGTAGAAATCCGCTGTAGAAATCGTGCAATATTAGCATAAATCACCAGAGCAACAGGTTTTTAGTCCAGGTGTCTTGCCAAAAATTCCGCTGAAGCGAAGAGAAACTCCGCAGAGTTTTTGTGGTCGTCAGGCGAAATGCTAAATGACTGCAACATTTAACTACGATAAATGCTTATGCAAACAATGTTCGAGTTGCAGTCTTCAATATTAAATGGCCGCCCCAAATATAGACTCACTTTTGAATGGCTCGATGGGTATTAACCTTTTTGTCTGCCTCGAAACGCATTCAAAGTCAGGCCTAAAAGTGGAAAAACAAAGCGAAGTGGCCAAGAGCCCAGTTATGAGCCGATGAAACGAGGAAGTACACAGCCAAAGCCAACAGAACTCGGCGCTAATGACACCCAAAGTCGGGTATTAGCCACAGCTGGGGCCAATAGCAGAGCTCGGCTTTGGCCAAGTTTGCAGCCAAACGGCGAAAAGCGAAAACTGAAAAACTCAATAAAAGAAGCGGTTAGTGAGGCGGCCTTGTTATTGAATTCCAAGTGGTTTTGGCCAGAGCCAAGTGACTCAGCAGTTGGCAAACAACCTAGACGCGAGTCAGTTGATTGATTGAAATGGTGCTAAATGTGCACTTGATCGAATGCAAATCGAAGTACGTGATGTTTACCCAACAAACAAGCCAATAAAACGCCTCAAACAAAGGCGTTAAATCGCAGATAATACCTATGCATTTAAGAAAGGAAATTTAGCGGTGTTCGAGTCAACTTTCGTTAACAACATCCAAATTTGGCAGTCGGGACAAGGCCGATACAAATTAACAGCAATTAAGTCAACAAAGGCCAATGAGTAGACTCCCAGACCCAATAAACTTTATCGTTTAGAGATAGGAAAATTACTTGCCAAGCTCCTCAGACATGGTGTTAAAAACCAAACCCCCTTTTCGGCCTTCGGCAAATAAATCATCGAAGCAAATTGGATTACAAGTCAGATTAGAAAAACAGATCTGCGGTGAGCTGAAACCTGATTTATACTATCTAGAGGGCACGATCGATGCAATAACACTTATCGCTTGTATCTAGGCCGCAGTTAAGCCCAGCTTTAAATCAACTATTAATCCCATTGGTTCCAATTTGTCTCAACGGAAAATAATATATATTAAATAAAACAGTAAATCAGTTTCAGAACTAATGTCCACTTAAAAATAATAACAAATCTCAAATTCTTCATATATATTATATGAAATTAATTAAAACACGTTTCAAAGTTTTTTTTACGATATATAAAAAGCTTATTAATAAATCCCGCAGAACCCAACTATATGTAATTGTTATAAGTATTTACAAACGGATGACTTATCAAGAATTATGGGGCTTGCTTTCGAATATAATGATTCACATTTAAAATGTCGTAAGATACTTTCATTATTGTAAATTGATAAGGTCTCTGATTACAATATTATTAATGAACTCGCAGTTCCGCAAACAAATGGACGATGCTCTGGTGGGAACCCACGATGATTACTTCTTGGTCCGCTGGTTGAGAGGTGAGTACTTTCCGCTATTTGATTTGAAGTTAGACAGCTGCATTAACTATATGTTTTACTGACCAAAAACAGCTCGAAAGTGGAATCTGGAGGCGGCGGAGAAAATGCTGAGAGCTGTAAGCAATAAAATTATTAAAATAAATGCAATAAATAAAGTCAATGTTTAATTATACCCCGTAGAGCTTGAAAACCCGCGCCATGTGGAATGTAGACAACATCGAAAAGTGGGATCCACCCAAGGCTCTGCAGGAATATTTGCCTTACGGTCTGATGGGCTACGACAATGAAGGATCCCCAGGTGGGTTCATATTAAAACCCTCCCAAAATTTAAGCTTTTATTTACCAACTCCATTTAACCTTTTCAGTGCTGGTCTGTCCCTTCGCCAACTTCGACATGTGGGGCATGATGCACTGCGTCACGCGGTTCGAGTTTCAGAAGTACCTGGTCCTGCTGCTCGAGCGCTTCATGAAGATTGCCTACGATCAGAGCCAGAAGCACGGATGGCGTGCACGCCAGCTGGTAGTGTTTTTCGACATGCAAGACGTCAATCTGAAGCAGTACGCCTGGCGACCGGCGGCGGAGTGCGTGATCTCCACGGTGAAACAGTACGAGGCCAACTTCCCGGAGCTGCTCAAGATGTGCTACATCATCAACGCGCCCAAGCTCTTCTCGGTGGCCTTCAACATCGTGAAGAAGTTCCTGGACGAGAACACCACCAGCAAGATTGTGATCTACAAGTCGGGAGTGGACCGCTGGCAGCAGCAGCTCTTCTCGCACGTAAATCGCAAGGCCTTCCCGAAGGCCTGGGGCGGCGAGATGGTGGACCACAACGGGGATCCCCAGTGCAAGGCCCTGATGGTCTGGGGCGGCAAGCTGCCCGAGGAGCTGTACATCGACCAGAGCAGCCAGCAGAGCGACAGGGACTTCGTGGAGACCCAGGTGGCCAAGGGCGACAAGCTGAAGCTGAACTTCAAGGTCAACGCGGAGGAGCAGAGGATCCTCTCGTGGGAGTTCCGCACCTTCGACTACGACATCAAGTTCGGCATCTACAGCGTGGACGACAAGACGGGCGAGAAGCGAAGCGAGGTGCCGCTGGGCACAGTGTACTCCAACGAGATGGACGAGATCGGTTACATCTCCACGCGACCGCACACCACTTGTGAGTAAATGAAACTTGGCTTGGAGATCCTCCGTCAATCAAATACTCTTATCGTTTACAGACACTGTCGTCTTCGACAACTCCGCCAGCTATCTGCGCAGCAAGAAGCTCCGCTACTGGGTGGATCTCATCTCCGAGGAGGAGGAGGGCATCTCCGAACTGACCAGCCAAATGGACAACACTCAGATTGCGACTCCGCAGTGAACGGATTCGGTTCACCGCGTGAATAGCAACCACCAAGCCAAAAAAATGGGAGTAGATAGAACATGTAGATAGACGACAACACAAACTAACCTCGGTGCAATACAGTCACAAAGCATTCCGCCAGACCTCCGCTGCCATCTGCTCCTCGGAGTCCAGATGGGAGCGCCTCTGGCGAACCTGCAATCGAACCATGTGATAGAAACAAATTAGCAAAGGAACGCAAAGTATGACTCACACCTACATTTAAAGTTAGTCTTTTTATTACATACCTAGCCGCAGTTTTAGTTAACAATTTATTATCTTGGATGTGTAATCTGTGTTTTCACGCCCATCTTTTCAGGGAGTACAGCACAATAAATGTATATAGCACCTGATCTTTACATGAAATAGTGTTCTGTTTCGGGATCAGATTACTGCTTACATACGATTGCAAAATGATGTCGGCTTGGTCCACAGAAACATCTTTGCATTGATGTCAAATGGAAGTCACCGATTTCAGAAAGAAAGCTTATGCTATTGAATGACATTTCCAGATGTTTTTAATCGGTGTTCAAACATTTTGGCATTGCCAAATATAAATTACAAAGTATCTTTACCAAATTTTGAGTATCATAGAGTGGATCGATTTTCAGCTATTCAAAACAATCGACTCACCCCAGAGAAAAGTGGATTTGTGTGGTCTCCTATTTAATAAACTCAATAATTAATAATCGATCGCCGTTCCGGTTGCCAGCTCACAGGCACTCAGCTCACGGCTGCTGCGAGGAGGCGCGGCGCTTGCGCCTTCATCACTGCGGACCACCGGGATTGGGTCCCATCTGCGGGTAGACCCCAGGACCGACGGGTCCCTGGGGTCCCACCTGCTGCGGCTGCAGCTGCTGCATGGGCATCATCGGGTTCGGACTGGATCCCACACCCACGCCTACTCCCACTCCCACGCCCACCGGTGGTCCAATGGACTGGTTGGGCGGCGGCTGGGGCATCTCGGTGGCCAGCTGGAGGTTCGTCAGCAGATCCGTGATGGCCGGGAAGAGTGTGCACTGATTCTGCTGGGCGTTGAACTCGGCGAAGCGACGGAGGAGAGTGCTCGCGGCGGTCATGGTGGGCGATGTAACTTGTCCGGTGCGCTCTGCCATTTGGGTGACGTTCGTCTGGATGTCGTACACGATGGGCAGCACCAGCGAGGGGCTGTCCTTCCAGTCCTTGGGCACGCCCATGCCGGCGCCGTAGGGAATCCGCGTGATCTGCAGGAAGAACAGGATCTTCATGCGCCCCAGGACCACGCAGGCGTTGCCGATGGGCACGATGGGCACCGCCGAGGGCGGCATGCGCATGCACATCTGCACCGTCCATTTCAACTGGTCGCCGCCCAGCTCGGGCTTCAGTTCCAGCCGCATAATCTGCACGAAGTCCTTGAGCACCTGGGCGGGCAGGTTCAGCAGCCGGCAGATGCTGTGCAGGGAGTTGGGTCTGTAGGGCGGGGCGGCCACCCGGGTGTCGAAGTACTGCTCGATCACCATCAGGTCGTCCTGGCTCAGCTGGAACGGCGGCGGCAGCTTGTCGGGCATGGGCGGCAGCTGCGAGATCTTGAGGTGCAGCGTCTGCATGTGCATCTGGTTCAGCACCACCTGGCACTGCAGTCCGTCCACCTTGAAGAGCACCACTCCCGGCTCCGTGCTGTTGAGAGCGGTCAGAGTCTCCTCGCTCTGGATGTTTCGGTGCAGCTGCCTCCTCATGTACACGCAGCCCAGGAAGCGCTCCAGTGGACTCATGTCCGGCACGTTGATGTCCTTGTTCGGGTGCGGACTGGGCCGGCACAGGGTCTCCAGAGCCTCGTGCGTGAGCAGAGTGGGCACTGCTCCGGCCCAGGGGCGATTCAGAGTGACCCGTGAGCCTGCCCTGTCCGGTCCACCGGCTCCTCCCGCTCCGCCGCCTGTGCTCTTGTGCTCCGGACTCTGTCCAGGTCGCGGGGAGGGGCGCGGCATGCTGGGCGACCCGGGCCAGTTGTTATTCGCCGGCGACATGGCCGTGAAGGGCGAGTCCTGGTGGCTCTGCATGTAGAGGGTGTTGGGTCCCGGGCTGTGGACCATGTGCGGACTTGGCTGAGGATTCAGGGGCGAGGAAGGCATCAGGCCGCTCGGCGACGGATGTGGCATGTGCGGCGCTGGCGGGGAAGTCAGGTTAAAGTTTCCATGTCCCTGGGCACCGCTTCCACCAGCCGCCCCAGCACTTGGATGCGGACTGGCGGGCGTATGTGGATTGGAACTGGAAGGCGGCGTGTGGGGAGCTGGGAAACGTAACCCGCTGTCTCTCGGTGACTGTGGCCCTCGCATCCCAGTGCACAGGAACGGGGAAGATCCGCCAGCACTCACTCCTGCCACGCTGCTCGGACCGCCAAAGGCATCCTCCATGGGGGACAGCGGATTGTCGTCCTCGTGGGCTGCACGTCCTCTGTAGGCAGCCGACTCGTCAACGTACTTGGAGAGGAAGGCCTTGAGGCCCTGGATCGGCGTGAACTCCTCCACCACGTTGCGCTCGAAGCGACTGCTCGCTCCATCTCGGATGGAGACCAGTCTGTTGGCACGGAAGCGCAGCTCCAGGCAGTAGACGGCCTGGTATGTCAGCCTCATCAGACAAGGCGATTGGGCCAGCATGCAGAACGACAGAACAGGAACCTGAGGGCGCTAAAATTTTAAACCAAATGGGTAAAGTTGAAGAGCTAACACTACAGGTAAGTAGGCTTACTGGTATTCCCAGGAAAGGCAGCACTGGAAGCTTGGCGATGGAGCTCATGGGGTTGTAGGTCTCATGCAGAATCTGGGCGATCTGGGTGAGGCTGTGCTGCTGGTTCAAGTGCTGAGCTAGCTGGTCCCGCATCATCGAGTGCGCGTTCACCGCCGACATTCCGCCCACGAAGGTCAAGCGGAAGCCGTGGGATTGCACTGACCAGTAGATATTGCAGCTTACCTCCTTTTTGGGTCCGTAACCGAGAAGCAGGTTCATGTAGCTATAAGACTTGACCACCAGCATGTCGCAGAGGGAAAGGCGTTCTGTAAAGTCAGGGGGTATGAAATAATTCCAATTATTGAGCAGTCATTTACTCACTGTTTCTCAGCTGCTCGGCAAAATCGTAGACCAGCGTGTACAGGTACACGATTTTCGACCAGTCGTTGAGCAGATCCTCGACCGTTTTGGAGAAGTCGTGGTTGGCCTGTTCGTAGGTGAGGTACACGGTTCGTCGACTGCCCTGCTCCTTTTGGTGGCTGCTCTGCAGAGGAGTGCTGTAGAAGACGAACTCCACCACCCAGATTCGCACCTGACTGTTTTTGTTGGTCTGCGAACGCACCGAAATGGACAAAACGCGGCGCATTAAATCGTCCCACACGTGGGGCTCAATTTTCGGAAGTCCAGAGGCGCCACTTGGTTTGTTTTCTCCAGTTCCTGCAGCTGGTCCCTGCTGCTGCTGTTGCTGGTTAACAAATGTTGTCTTCCCCGGCTGAGGCAGTGCTAGAATCTTAAGCACAAGCGATGTGGCATTCGCTTCCACCTGCAGTCCGCTGTGGGGGATATTGTGCTTGGACAAGGTCTGCGCGAGGTTCATGAACGGAATCTTTTCGTCGCACATGGCAACCACATGAGCCAGCTCGGGAATGAAGTAAGCTGGGAAGATCGTCTTTTGCTGCTTGGCAGGAGGCGCCAACAAATCCCCGTTCGATTTGCGCTTGTGCGGGGACACTTCTGCTGAGAATTTATTTTATCTTAATATGTTTTTAGGCTTTCGAAGAACTTTATGCTCACCATCTACTTCGGTTCCAGGTCCATGTGTGGCTACGAAAGTGTCAAACTCGATGAGACGCATCAGCTTGGAGTAACACTTTGGAATGTCCGAGTGCGGCTGGGCCACCACGGAAACTAGCTGCTTGGCGGAGTCGTCGATCACATCCTGTTCGTCCTTTTGGAAGGCCACGAAGCCCAGGTGGAAGGTGTACTCCATTTCGTTGGGCATGGTTGACTTTTCCTTGAGTTGAACCACCTTTGATGGATCAATATTTTAATATTTGTAAATTAAACTAGGTTATTTAACATTTACCAGCACAATATTGGGATGCCTGTGCAGCTTCACATAGATCTTGTGCCTGCCAGGCTGCAAAAGCTCCTGCTCTGGTGGCGTCAGGAAGGGAAGTGTCTCGGTGGCCGTGGCCGGGAGGTGTTGCAGGGTCTTGTCGCACCTGCGATGAGTGATCCAGAAGCGCAGCTCCGATAGCAAAGCAGGCAGCTTGCCTCGATCCCCGTTTAGGCAGTCTTGCATCTCCTCCGTGATTGGACAATCCAGATGCTTGGGCACATGACAGCGGAACATACCCGTGTGCGTATCGATGGTGATGTGGATCTGCTCGGCCCTCAGGCAGGGAGAAAGTACGGGCACGGTCAAAATAGCTGGAGTACCTTGAAGGTTAACTAGAATAAAAACAATACAAAGATTAGTTGTTAATTCTGCTATTGAAGATTTCTTGAAAGAAACACTCACAGTCAACATCCTTCAAAAAGGCCTGGAACTCCAGCTTTAGATCGCTTAGCCTGGATACGGATCGTATATAAACAGTGTGCACAATTAGACGCTCCATCGAAAGGTGCTCGGAGCGCACTGCCCGATCTGCCACTTCGGCGGACTCCTTGGCGCCCAGTGAGGGCACATGGACCACTGCTAGGGGACGACCAATCTCGCTGGGATCCGACTGAACGGTGAGGCGGTAGCCCAGCTCCGACTTTAGGTCCCGCCAGTACGACACCGTTAGCTTCACTCCGGGAACATACTCCTCCACCGTGATGTTGTTGTCGTCAAGTCTTTCATAGTTCAAACGAAGTGTCTGCGTATACAGAACCTCCAACTGCAGAGATTGGCAAAAGTAGTGCAGGCAGTTGTAGACCTCGCTTAGGGCATTGGGATTTTCCACCAGACGAGCCTGGATAAGCTGATGGATGTAGTTGACCTGCAGGGGATGCACCAAGGATTTTCCGTCTAAAGGGGAAAACGAAATAAGTATGGAAGATTGCTTCAAAATATTCGCTTCTTACCCCCAGTTTCCTTGTCCTCCACGAGCACATCGATGTCCAGCAGTCGCCAGGGAACAGTTGGGTTATCGCCCATTACGGTCAGAGAGACACTGAACTCGTGTTTCACTTCAAAGGTAACTCTTCCGTTCCTGATGCGGAACTCTCGCATTTGCGGCAACAGTTTCCCAGTGACTAGGCGGTGTTGAATAACCTGATTTAAGCGGAGCAGTGTCTGCCTTTTCTCCGCCGGCGTTATGGCATCGGCGGGAACAATCCTCTCCCTGATACAAGTGGGCAGTCGATTATAAGTGCCAGTGGTCAGAACTTCAACGGCAGCGGGTATGTGGAAGTTGGGCAATCTGGCACGAACCAAAGTTTCGCGTGACATGCGGGCCAACATGTCAGCGGTCTCCACAAAGAGCATGTTCTGCTTGTCCAGAAAGCTCATTATCTGCGAGGATTTATCCACCTTTGACACCGAGTTGCCCCACTTGACTAGCGCATTCAAGCGGGTAAACAAGTGGCGAGTGCGGGCCGCGTAGTCGTAGATTTCCACCTTGCGCTCCATGTCCGTTTTGCGGGGTAACCTTGAATGATAATTCATTTGGATTTTTAAGATTAATGGATCTGTTAAGAGAAATAATTAAAGTGGAAGTCACTTACAGTTCAGCCAAAACAGTAAGCTCGTGGTAAGTGCGCTGGATGATGAAGTCGATTAGCACAGACATGGACATGGTGTTGATACGCGGACCTCCCTCCTGTAATTCCGAATAAGGTATGGTTATAATACATTAACTCTGGCATAAAGTGACTTAAATATTCACCTGGCCAGCGGGCAAATAGCCGCCTCCTCCGCCACCGACGCCGGGCATTTGTTCGAGTGGCAGAGGGAGGGGCAAGGGGGTGGGTGCCATGTTTGCTGGTAATCCTCGTTCACTCCGCTCCTTTTGCGGTGCGTTTCGTTTGATTAATGGAGTGCCCTCTCTAGTGGCGCATATTCCAATAGAGTTTTTCTATTTTGTAGTGGCGTTTTCCAGCGGTTTCTTGCCAAAAATCAGCAACAATTTTCACCTATTATGCTTAGAGCTGGAACAAAAACTAGTGATGGAATTAAAACTAGAGACGGAACAATTGACTTTAATTATGCTATCGATGTCGTAATGGTACTATCGAGAACTTGCGCTTGAATTATCGAGATTTGAACTTTAAAATTTTAGGTATAAAAATAAAGTATAACAAAATGGTACAAGTTGCATTGTTTGCAATTTTACATTTTTTTTATTATAATATGAAACCCCTCTATTAAACATATAAAAAATAGTTTAAAGGAGGGTTTACCAAAAACTTAGATATATGAAGGTAGTTTTTTGTCATTAAGATGTTGTAATCATTATTGAAATTGTTTTTATTTTTAAAATTTTTTAAATTCTATTATTATTTGATTATAACCTACTTTGGGGATAAATTATTTTAAAAAAGTAAAACAAAAAGTAAAAGAAAAACAAAGACTAAAAGTAATAAGCAATCTATACAATTCTCATAATTTGTAAGGCTATATGAAATGGTTGTGTGTTTATCTTTATTTGCTTGTCAGTGATTAATTTTTGTTAAGTTGTTGTTTTCTTATCAAGTAAACTGAGAATTAGAATATGTAATTGATGCATAATTTTCCTTCAGGTTAATAACTTCATTTCGTTGGCTGGGCCAATTATAGACACGAAAGTTCATTGACCAAATCAGCTTTCCATTACCACTCGGCTGTTTTAGTTTTCCTCATGTGGCGGCTGTTAAAAATAAGGAAAACAAAAACATTTCCGCTTTTGTTTCTTTGAATTTTGACACGGTTGATGTTTGGCTGCCATTGCACATGGCATACGAGAGCCTCGTGCCCCTCACCCTCCACACTCCCCCGATCCCTGGCCATCCTCAGTAAACAGCCACTGATTCAAGTGGCGGCACATGCCAACCGAACCGCCCCAACCCCTCACCTATATCTTCACTTGGGCCTTGCAAAGTGGCAGCCACCTACGGAATCGCTCCACTTGCACTTGGAAAGTTCTCGGGGATCGGGATCCATAGTTTGAACTTCCCGCGGCCATAGCTCTCCCCTAATTGGTATAAATAGAACTTTATGATCTCGCCACGGAACAGCACGATCCAGAACTTCAGCGGCAGCCCTGATTCCACGCCCAGGAATTACTCACATATCCGGCCCAGATCCCTCCCCCTTTCCCAGAGTCAGGTGCCCTTTCATCCGTCTCCATTCCATCCATCTGTCGGAACCCTTGAGTTTTCCGTAAAATTCCTGTAAACAGGATGCGATCAGGACCGAAATTGGGTGCTGAAGTTGCTCTGCTCCACATAAATTATTGTACGACGGCCACTTGAGTTCGGATGAGGTCCGCGTATCTGATTCCGATCCATCACAGCGATTAGGGGATAATTTACTTTACCACATCATTGGGAATTTATTTACCAAACAAAAGACAGAGAAAATTCTGGGTGTTTTTGCGCTTTCTTTGCCTCTTGTTGAATTTCGCATCAAGGCGGATTCCGCTTATTTATCTGCGTAAATAATTGGACACCCTCCGGCTGTCTGGAATTTGCGGATGTGAATTCGATTCACTTGCAGATTCAATTCGGACGAGGCGGTGGCCACATACTATATGCTATAGAAGTATACCCCTTGCATTATACCTACGCAGAGAAGGAGAAACGAACCACCCGATGTTGACGGGAGCAGTTAAAAATAAAGATCCAGGGGCACTTAACAAACTGTCATGCACTGGGGAAAGTGAACCCCTATAAAGTATAGAATTAACTAATTAGCGATTGGGCAACTTCATTTTAAATAATACAATCAAAAGCAGTAGAAGAAAACTTAATAAATTAGTTATTAAAATACCTTGTTTTAAGATTTTCTTTACAAAAAAAAGTATTGTACTAGTATTTTGTCTGTGTGGAGTTGGGGCAGCAGATTGGTCCCCGCAATTGCGCAGCAAGTGAGCTAAGAGTACCGATCTGGGGATCTAGAGGAGCCAAAGGAGTGGGGGACCTGCGACTGGAACCAGGACGAAAATAGATTTATGGCCGCCAGTCGCGACGACGTCTTCGGCGGTTTTCCAGAATCCAGAATCGCTCGATCCGGTGAGGCCATGGGGTATTCTTCTGCGCCACTCACTACACCCAATAATCCGGGCTGATCCACTGCGATTTGCTCGGCCGTAAGTTGGAGACACTTCCTTTGTGGCAGCCCCTCGCTCCTTCGCTCCTTTCTTCTCTTATTAATTGCCGTGATTAAAGCCGACACAATATGTCTTTAGCACATGTCACACGCGGCGGAAGGCCTTTCCCGGGTCCAAAGCTCCGCCGTGATCGTGATGCATGGCTATGGCCCATCCTGACCTTACCACTCAAATTGCATTTCCATGTTGTTGGCGCCAGACAAAGCCCGCCCCTTTTCCCCCGCCAGCGCTTTTCCGCCCGCCCCCAGAGGCGATTTTCTTTGTCTTTGTTGCGTGGGCTGCAAGTTGCAGAGTGTGAAAATGGCACGAGAAGTGCGAAAAACCGGGGAATAAAGACGGAGACATGGGAAGTACTAAACAGATTAGTCGGGGATGGGGCGGCCTTATAAATAAACCCATTACAATCCCCGCCCAACTGTAAAGATCTTTTGTGAAACATCAAAAACCAATTCGAACCAGAACCAACAGACCGCCGCTCGGCATAAATCATATCGAATATATAGAAAATACGTTAGCACCCAATACATTCTGAGGACCCCGACCAAAATCAACCAAAATCAACCAAAAGGGGCGACACTAAGTTCATTACGCCTGAAAAGCCGAAAATGAAAAGTGGAAGAAGACGGGAAAAGCGAGAGAAAACGGGAGAAGCGACGACAACACCTGTGAGAAATCCGTTTTCCGTTTCGGGGCTTCCAAAGGCCATCGGAGGTGGGGAATTCGCCGAGAGAGAGTGGAAAATTCCTGGGGGGCGATGGGTGGTTCAGGTGAGCGAGTCTATTTTGGATCCCCGCAACAAGTATGCAATTGGGGAAAATGCCAAATTGCATACGACTGCGTCACTCCTCGAGAAGAGCAAGAATCGGCAATCAGCAGGAGAAGAATCTGAAGAAGAGGAAGAAGAAGAAGAAGACGGGGGAGCCGGCTAAAAAAGAAACTGCCCAACCACGAAGCGAGAGAATCCCCACACTCTCTTTCTAGGCAAATCAGCATGGGGCAAGCGAAAAACACACTGACACATGGGGCAAATTCCCACAGCTGTGGCCACGAAAATAATACCTCCAATACCTCTAAGCATTTGCTAGGATTAATAAGTTTTAAGGTTTTAACATTAACTTCTTAATTTATACCTATAAGTATAATCATTGTTTATCTGATTTATTAGATAGAAATCTAAATAAAATGAATGCAAACTAGTATAAATGATAGAATCAACTTAAGGATTAATATTTTAATTACTATCTTAGTTACATATATGTTCCCACTTAGCTAACCCCCTTTGTTTTGCACCGAGTGTGTGAGGTTTTTGACACTGACTGCGGATCGTTAGAAGAATTCTGCGCAGTGGTCCTGCCAGCAGGAGCATCGCCACCGCAAGAACGGTTTTCCCTTTCGAAGAATGCAGGCGGTGCGGGCAAAAAGAGAGGGTGAGAGAGTGCCAGCGTAATGAAAACATTATTTTCGGTTTATTTTTAAACCGCACACACTTGTTCCGTCGCTGCCTCAGTCGCAGTCGCAGCCGGCGTCGCTGCCCGCGTTGCGGTTCGTTCTCGGAGTTATGTTCGATTCGATCCCGATCCCGATCCGTTCAGATACGATATGATGCGGTATGGTCCTCGGAAGAGCGACCAACAGCTGCTGGCTGTCGGCCACGTCGATCTCCTCCTTCACCTCATGTCCCTCCGGCGGTTCGTACTCCGTCTGCGCTGCTCTGCGTCGGATTCGTCACCTCCTCGGCGTAGATGCGGATGTACACTGAAAAAAATGTATGTTCTATTTTAATTTCAAGAGGTGTGCCACTTTGAAATCGGTATCCATTTGGAAGTGAAAGAGCTGTTGGAGTAATCTTTTCCAACAAATATTACAACAAACTCATGATACCTTAAAATCTGAGCCCATTTGTTTTTGCAAATGCACTTAATTAAGTCACAAATTTGTGATACATAATCTGTGGCTTATTTAATAATGAGCTTTTTAACATATTTTCACGGATGACCCCTTTTTCCTCGCAGTGCATCTCACGGCAGCAGAGAGGTGGATCGGCGCAGGAGAGAGGATGGGAGGCCGTGCGGCGGACGCCGCCGGAGGCAGAAGGCAGAAGAATCGGCAGCGGCGGCCGCAAGATGTAAAAACTGTAAGTGGTCCGGCGAAGAACGCTCAGTTCTTCCTGGGATCTCGCTGCGTGCGCTCGCCTTCACGGATGCGGAATCCGTCCGTGCGACCAATTATCGGTTCTTGACACTCACCGAGGATCACCACCGATCCCCGAAAGAAATCCAAACAGTCACAGTACATTAAACGCCGCCTTAGGCCCACATACAAGCACGCACGCGAACTCTTGGCGGGTGATGAAATTCGTGGATCTCGTTCCGTGTGTGTGATATACTATTGATTTCTCATCGGCAACTGAATCATCCGTCTATATACGAGATAGAGCGGCGAGAGTGGATAGCTTACCCAAACTATTCGAACTGCGTGGGGTGAGTTGGCAGAAAAGTGAACGAAAGGAAAGGCGAGGGAAAGTGAAAGGAAAATGCTGGGGGCTGGGGGCTGTAGGCTGTGTGCTCCTCCCACCTTTCAGCGCCTCACTTTTCCATTTTCCCACCTTTCCACCTTTCCGATTACACAATAGGACACACACCTTGGGCATGCATAACTATTTGCCCAGAAAGCGAACAAGATCGGAAATCTGCTTGGCAAATTGGGCCAAAAGATTCGCGTGACTGCAGCTGAGTGGCGCTTTTCCGCGATTTCCCCATTTCGAACCCCCCAGCCAGAACGGACCGACCGCACTTGTTAAATTAATATTATTATTTCTTTTGATATTTTGACATTTACGTGAGCAATGTTTGCATTGGCAATGAGCATCTGAGAACGGGAAATAGTGGCCGGCAGTGTATAGTATCTTTCCGTATAGGTACATATACGAGTATATAGAAGCTATAGCCATTGTCTCGCGGTGTTAATGGTTAATGCGTAGATGCTCATCCCCAATTTAGGCGCATAAGATAGCGGCAGCAGATATAGCCGATCACTCTTGCGGTCCGGGGCTAATTACCCGCCGTGATTTACAGGTGAAGCCTGCTCCTTTGTGTCCTTTTTCCCGTCCAAATGTTTATGCGCCCGCGGCTCTGTAAACAAACCGTCGCGAACTGCAGTTGTTGAGGCAACGATTGATGAGGGCCTGCGTTCTGGGGTAAACAAAACGGACTCACAAATCCAAACATTTCGATCGAATCGCAGTGGGGCGGCATGGGCATGGGTATCACAGGGTATGTGGCATTGACTCTGGACCGGGAGCCACCGGAGGTTGAGGCTGGCGCTCCGCCCTTTGTTTATTGTGCCTTGCATTTTCAAGTTTGAACTAAAATGTAAACTATGCAGGGATCACTGGCTCCGGCCCTTCGGGATCAGGTATTTATAGACGGACGCGGGCGGGAGAAAGTCGCCTGTTAAGGCCACCGAAGCCACCTCCGTTGGCCGTCGGCACTTCTCTTGGCCTCTGTGTACATTAACAGGACTTTGAACTCTTCCGCGGTCCAGAAATACGGCTCTTGTTCGCCCGGAGAGCGGAGACCACGCAATTTGCGCAGATTTGCGGCGGCATGGTAATGAAAATGGCAGGCGAAAAGTTAAATATTTTACCCGGTCCGTTCGCTTTCATTGTTCGGTTCACATGGAGTGCCCAACATTCGGTCAGATTGGGATCGGAAATGATTCACCATTTCCCCATGCAGTTGGAGGGAGACTAAGCTGCTTAAACACACTGAGGGTAAATGGCATAACATTTATATTTTCTTGGGTTTTCCATCTGTTTTAGTTATTATTTCATTGTCACATATACATATCACTCCTAGTTCAGTCTCAAAGAAGTTTAAATTAAAAGGTGCCATTTAATTATAGGAAATATTCTCGGAAAGGTGTGACATGAGTCATTTAGAAAAGAAGAATAACACCCACATAAAAACGTTATATATATCTACAAAATTCCTCAGTCTGTTCTTTCTGCTCCATCGACTTATGCTCCGTGTACAAAGTTCTTGGGGAGACTTCCAATGTTTTTCATTAGACTTCAAGGCATGAATCGGCGATGCGATCCCTACCCACCTTCCTTCTTCCTGTCATCTGCGATTACCGATCTGCAATCGCACGGGCCACGGAATAATTAATTAACGGCCTGTCACAGAAACATGCGACATTTCGTATGCCCCAAGCGATTCTGACATCGGAAATATGGCACAAACATTTCTCTGGGGGGAGGCACACGAGGGGGATAAACAGATTCGGGGGTTATTGGGGGATATTGGGGAGGCAGGATGGAGGAGGTACACCGATCACTTGTCAGCTGTTTTCCCCGGCGAATTCTCCGACGCATATTGTTCTTTAGAGACTTTTCAGTGTTTCGTGCTCGATGGAAATCGAGTACCGAAAATGACGTGATTAGGTGGAAACGGCATTCATTTGAGTGCTATATTTAAACGAGTACGCCAACCACCTGGGAACAGGGCCTCAGGTGGCGGGGCATATAAATAAATGGGCCGCAAATTGCCAAGACACAAGTTATGGATGTCTGGCGGCTTTAGCTCGCACCCACTCAAAGTCTGGGAGGGGGGAAAGGCGCGGAAATAATTCCTTCATGGAAAACCACTTTCGAACACCTTCGGCCACCTTGGCAGCCAGAATTCCGCTTAATTGCCGCAAAAACATTTTGATGTACTGCTCCCCGAGGAGCAGACGAGAATTGGCAGCTGAGGAGGCGCAACAGGTTGCAGATTTCGCTGGCGGGGGCGGATCGCAGATGCTCGGCTAGGGCGATCCGGGGGGATCTTCACCCACATATTCCCCCGAAAAAACAAAAATCTCGCCGCTGGCCTCAGGCGAAAAGCACACAGAGAATATTAGAGAAACCAACAAAACCGAAAGCAAGAGCAAACCCCAAACAGCCGCCGCATTATTGCACATGACCTCCTCAAGAGTGGATAGCCGCCCCGATCCGCCGATCTCAGTCCCCCGCAAAGGGGGTCTCCCCCCCAGATTCTTCAATGAGTTCGATTATTTAGACAATTTTTTGGGGCCAGCAAAATAAAGGAGAAAACTTTCACATGATAAACAAACGATCAAGTGCGTTGTGGGATTTGTAGAATTTTATGGCGCTGCACAGAACAAAAATTTATCATTTCGAGGAATAAAATATATATGTTTTTAATAAATATATGTTATATTTAAAATCAATTGAACCACTTTGCCCTTTGATAAAAATACTTAGAAATTTCGAAAATGGAAGATTGGTCTTTTGAGCATTTTTTGCTAGACTTGCGAGACAGTACAGTAAACTCTACAAACTGAGGAACTTCTTTTTGCCACACTGAAAACCCACCTGACTATGGCTGAACCAATTACGTGCGAGATTAATCAATGCCAAGACAACATGAACAAATTAAGCGCACTCATTTCGACATAAATTTATTTGACCACGCAAAGAGGCGAAGAAGATGGCCAACAGCAGAGCAGCAGCAACAAATCGGCATTACCGAGCCGCAAAGCAGCCAACAAGTGCCAGAATCAGAATCAGAATGCAATATGCAGTATGCAATGACGTTAATCATACGCCCCGTGGGCTCTGCTCACCCTCAACCCGGCGCAAATGCAATGGTTCCCATTCGGCAATGATGATGATACAGACGACTTTGGCTCACATCTCGGACTCTGAGTGTGGCCTCTCGACTCTGTCCTTAATTATAAATTGATGCATTTTCAAATAAACAAACAAGAATTATGGCGTAAGCACCGGGAGGGAAAGATCTATGATAGGTGGGATGATAGATGGCGACGATTGCGCTGGGGCCGTGCGTTCCAAAGGGGAATCTAGCGTCGAGAAATCCGAATATCGGTGTATTTTGTGCATTTTCAAAGCCGTAATGAGCCACCAATTAGAGTTGAAAGCCTTTGATTAATGGGGATACCATTTGATTTAAGAATTTCACACCCCATTCGGAAATACGAGTATTCTATTAATATAAATCTTGAAATGGAATTGTTATAGTAAAATTACATATTAAGTGTAATATAGATAAATAAATGAGGAATTTCTTAGCGGGGGTTACAAGCAGAGTGAATATTGAAAACTGCCAAATTAATTTATAGGTTTATACTTTGACGATCTTGTGGTCTATTTTAGCTAGGTAATGACGCACCTAGTGCGCATTAGCAGGTTGCTATTATATATCAGTGTTTCGGGACTAGTCATGCTGTTTTCATCATAGAAATTCCCCAATCTCTTGCAGGCATTTCACCATCACCTCACCACGATGACGAAGGACCAGCAGGCCACGCCCATTCCCGAGGAGCTGTACAATCTCACCCAGCTAGCTGAGGTCACCTTGGCGGCGGGTCCCTTGATCACCGCCATGGAGAAGCCACCGGCCAGCGTGTATGCCTCCTCGGACGACGACTCCAACTACTACAGCCACAAGGTGTTCGACCGCAGGAAACTGCGCCGCTGCACCATCTCCGACTCGAACTCCTGCACCAGCAGCAGTGCCAGCTCCACGTCCAGCCTGCAGTCCTCGGAGGACCAACAGGGACACCCACCGGAGCACCGTCACCCGGAGCAGGGGGAGATCCTCAACGCCAACTCGCTGCTGGAGGACGAGCACATCTGCCCCGAGTGCGGCAAGAAGTATTCCACGTCCTCCAACCTGGCGCGTCATAGACAAACCCACAGGTGAAGATTATAATAATTAGGTTAGGGGATTTGTGATTGAATGGGAAGTGGCATAAATTTAATAGTTTTGAAGTTGAATATGTGACAATACAACTTGGTATACATATATGACTGCTTAAATAAATATATATTAAACTTGTAAATAATTACATTTAGTAAAGCCTAATTTTCAAGATACATCCTTGTCTCCCAAAGACCGTATAATAATGAATGGAGAATGCCATTCTTCTGTAGTAAACTTGCGATTTACATAAAACCAATTTCCCAACTCCAGGTCGATTATGGACAAGAAGGCGCGCCACTGTCCCTACTGCGAGAAGGTGTACGTCTCGATGCCCGCGTACTCGATGCACATGCGCACCCACAACCAGGGATGCGAGTGCCAGTTCTGCGGCAAGAGCTTCTCGAGGCCCTGGCTGCTGCAGGGCCACATCAGGACCCACACCGGGGAGAAGCCCTTCAAGTGCGGCGTCTGCGAGAAGGCCTTCGCCGACAAGAGCAACCTGCGGGCCCACATCCAGACCCACTCGAACACCAAGCCGCACACCTGCACCCGCTGCGGCAAGGCCTTCGCCCTGAAGTCCTACCTGTACAAGCACGAGGAGTCCTCCTGCATGAAGAACCGCGGCGGGGTGACGGGATCGGGATCGGGAGGTGGAGCCTTGAGTAACAGAAGCCCCACTTCTCCAAAGCGGCAGCAGTTGGAGGTGGGAGCCTCCTCCAATTCGGAGATGGGTCCCGGATCTCCTGCCCCAGTGGTGAGTGCTAACTTTTACCATCAATTTACAATAGTAAATTGAGCAGGAAAACTTAAGCCATAACAAAGAATTGCATGCTGAATAACCCAAGAAAGTTCAGAATTTCTTTTAGTGTTTCGTTCTGCATTTAAGTCATTTCTATTTTCATCTTGCTTCAGATCGCTCCCGATTCGGCAAAGTCCACGCTGGCCAACAAGCTGTTGCAGAAGGAGAAGGAGCGCAGGCAGGCGGCCCTGGCCTTTCAGCACTATCCAGGTGGTCCGGAAATGCCGCCTTACACCCACTCCGCTGCCGCCTTGGAGGAGTACGAGAAGTTCAAGCGGATCAACGTGATCCAGCCGACGGTGCTGCCGCACAGGGTCTCCGGTCTCTACCCGGACCTGCACCCCAACCACCACTTTCCCTACCACTTTCCGGCCCAGGCCACGCCCACCACTCAGGGGGCGGTCGTTACAGCCACCGCGCAGGAACAGCCCGTGGATTTCTCGCCCAAGAACAACTTCACGCACTCGGCCAAGACGAGTCCTTTCGAGCGGACCGGGAACTACGCCATCATGGCATAGGACGTCCGGAGGACTGGACACCAAGCAAAAGACACCGGAGAGAACAAGAGCACTTAAGCAATTCGAGGAGACCTTTGCTAGCACCCACTAAACACTTAATCCAACCAAACGCCCACTTTCTTACTGTAGTCAACGAATATGTGATAAAAATGCAAAAGAGCTAAAGTACCATTAGAGAGTAGATGATTCCAGAGCGCAGAGGACGTAGAGACGTAGAGCTTATCGCAAGCGGAGAGCTAACTCATCTCCAGTAACTCCAAAGAAGAGGTAGATTTATAGAGACACAAGGTTGGATCGATCCCCCGGTCGATTGATCGTTTGATCTTCACTTAGTTGTAATAAGAGACTTCTTAGAGACTTGCCAAGAACAGCGACAAAAAACCAATGTAACCAGTATTTTTTTATAGCACATACGACCGTCGATCGTAAGAACGAGAGGTACTTACTGTATATCATCCCGAATCCGATCGAACACCGCAGCAAAGCTACAAACTTTACATATATACTCTCATCTAGCATTATGATTTTACAAGCAACTAGGCGTATGTCCAAAGATATTTCGATATTTCTGCAAACAAGCACTTACTAACCCCATTAATCACTTCGCATTAAGGCACCGGCCGACTTCCTGCTTCCGGCACGGAAGTCGGTCCAAAACGAGAGATTTCTAGTCTTTATATTTAAATTCGGCGCACACTCAGCGGACAGAAAGGGGCTTCCCCGATCTCCCCACGATCCTTTGTGCGTGTCGTTATTTTAAGCACTTTACGGCCGCATGTGGTGCAATAATTGACATAACTGTAACACTAATTAGCCTCTACCACATATAGAAATTTGTATAATTATGTTTTAGCGTTTCGTAGACACTATCACTATCATGTAGATATCGAGAGACAGACACCCACTGCATTTCGCACTCTCACTCAACTCGATTCGATTCGCTCCGATTCGACCTACAGCTAAACGCACCAAAGATACACCGATTTAGATGCATACGCGTATGCCTACCTTTATATACTCGTACTTACCATATACACCAAAAGATATATATATATACACGTATACGTAGCTCTTAAACTGTATTATAGATTTGCACATCAATTCGAATTAAACGAGAGATCCACTGATCCCCAAAAAATGTAACAAGTAAACTGACTTTTCTATTGAACTTGGGAGGAGATGAATGGGGTCACCTTACGGTGATAAGACATCCTCGATCTCAATAACCAATCACCGATTAATCAGGCACCATCCAAAGTATCCTTAAACAATTTTTAATTGGCTGCCCAGGCGGTGAAAAACGAGTTTAAAAAAACCGGAAATTTTGTCTGCAATCAGTGTGTGGGGATTGGGAATCGCGGTAGGAATGCTCCAAATAAGGGTATAAATGCGACGGCCAAGGAACAAAATAACAAAAACAACGTAAAACGGTAAAAACAGGGTCAAGGATGCGGCCATTAGTTCTCCTTGGGCGAGTCTCGCTCGCGAACGCCTAATCCCAAACCCAACCCCAATCGTGAGGTGGAGGTGCCCGCGGATACCGACGCGTAGGGATTGACCAGCTTCAGGACCGGCTGCTCCTGAATGTCGCCCACGGTTTCCACGGGGCTCTTTCGCTTTCCGCCGCAGCGGACGACCAGGTCCTCGTAGCTCTTGTTGTGCAGGAGGCACACCAGGATCACGGTCATGTTGTCGCCGCCAAGTCCGCCCATTTGGCCGTCCGGAGACAGGCAGCTGTTCATCAGGTCCTCGCAGATGGCCTGCGGCTCGAGGCCCTCGCAGATGCGCCTGCGCACGAACTGGCCCACCTCGGCACTGGTCATCACGTCCCAGATGCCGTCGCAGGCCAGCAGGACGAACTCCCAGTCGTCGGTGATGTCGCGGATCTCCACGTCCGGGTTGGCGGTCACGATCTGCTCCTCGGGACTCTTCAGCGAATTCTTCTTGTAGATGAAGTCACCGAGGGCGCGGGAGAGCGCCAGGTTGCCGTTCACCCGGTTGAACTCCACCCAGCCGCCGCCGGCGAGGATTCTCCTGGTCTCCGCCTCGTCGTTGGGCTTGTGGTCCACGGACAGGGCCTGCACCACTCCCGAGATGCAGGCGATGGCCCGGGAGTCGCCGGCGTTGGCGCAGTACAGGCGCCGCTCCCTGATGAGCACCACCACGGCAGTGGAGCCTGCGCTCTGCTCCCCGAACGTGCCGTTGTGCAGCATCTCGCGATCGAAGTCAAGGAAGGCCCTCTTCAGGGCCACCTCCACGCCGTTGTCCCGGTACTCGGGCCTCTTGGTCACGAACTTGTGCAGGTGCTTGCCCGCGAACTTGGCCACCCCTGCGCCGCCGTGGCCATCATAGACGGCGAAGAAGGCCGCCTGCGGGTCCTCCGGCAGCGCCAGAATGTGGGTGTGCGCGTCCTCCATCTCCACGCGCCACCCCTGCATGCAGCTGGAGCCCACGCGGTAGGCGGCGTTGCCGCAGCAGGCCGAGTCCTTCGTGGTCACCGGCTCCGACAGCGTCTGGCCCATGGTGAACTTAAGGAACGGGTAAGGCATCATCATCGTCAGGAGCGCCAGCTACTCACTCTGCTATTAGTAATGCTCTCGATCTTTGTTCGGGTCAATGGGCTGACTGAGGTCCGGCGAACGGAGGCTTCCTGGCTTCAGGAAATCCCTTCAGTTAGAGGAGTAAATAAGTCTAGTCTGTCCGGGATCGCCCAAACGGGTTTTGGAATTTAGCCAACTAACTCGACAGTGTCTACTCCGCTGCGAGAAGCTATTGATGGATTTTGATATGAATCCGAGACCTGTTCTAATTTTGGAACTGAACAGATTATAATATTGTATTTTTTGAAATAACTTTTGCCATCAAATTTAAAATTCGCGCTTTAGACTCTAACGTACTTAAGCATCGTTACGTTACGTAACGTTTAATCGTTTGAGCAGCCATGATTCTCACCACGTTTCCGTAACCCCTCAGCCCTTTCTACACCCATGCCTAACAAAGCACTTGGTCTTTTTTAGTGCATTTTCTGGAAGATACAACATTGAATTTAATTTCTGAATTTTTAAATAAAAACTTGGAAGCCCAATCCAACATGTCCACGAGGTGGTACCCCATTTACCAGCGCGGAAATCCGCAACTGCGAGTTTTCCTTCCTAACTTCTGGATGAAGTTGATTCGGCCCACGGAGGAGCAGCCCCCAAATGTGGTCACCTTTTCGGTTTCAATGGAAATGACCAAGTATGATGTGCGTAGCTACCTAGAGAAGATTTATAAACTGCCAGTAGTGGATGTTCGCACACGAATTGCCTTAGGAGAGACCAAGAGAGATCAGACTTACGGATACATCACCAAGAAAGACGATGTAAAACTTGCTTATGTAACATTGGTATGGTTTTCTAGTTTCCCTTAGTTTACAACTAGATTATATCAATTTGTTCCTATATTTCAGCCCCGTGAAGAGTCTTTCGTTTTCCCCGACTTCTTCGCGGAAAAGGCTGAGAAACAGGCCAAAGAAGAAAAGTCCCTAGATGAATCTAAAGCCGGTTTCCGCAAATTTTTGGACAGAAATAAGAAGCGACCCGGCACGCCAGGCTGGTTTTCCATTTAATTGTTAGTTCATAGCATAAGATTTCTGTTGTTTCAACGGGTAATTAAACATTTATTTCGAAAGTCCGAATTAACACAAAGCTGGGCTTTAATTTGTGGGGAGCAAACCTCAGTTTTTGGGGGATTTGTAAAGTTGTTCGTAACTATTTTGCCTGCTTGACGGCGGCAGCGACCCAGGCCCGAATTTTGTCCTCATCCTGAAGGCCTACCATGCGCTGAACTTCCTTGCCGTTCTGCATGACCACCAGGACGGGAACGGCGGCCACATCGTAATCCAAAGCCAATTCGCTGTGTTCATCTATATCCACTTTGGCCAATTTTATGGAACCTGCCTGTTCGCCCACAATGTTTTCGATTCTCGGGGTCAACAGCTTACAGGGATTGCACCAACTATAATTATCAATACAGACATCAGATAGTGATATTTAAGGATATAATAAACCAAACTTACGTAGCAAAAAAGTCCACAATCACGGGCTGCTGGCTGTTCTTGACTTTCTTATCGAAGTCTTCGGTACTTTGAACTTTGAAGATCTCTTGCCGCCCCGCAGAAACTGACAATGTGCGGAATTGTGGCCCAATGACCAAACGACGCGACGTTTGTCCTAGGACATTTAATACCTGTCGCTGCATGGCGTATTTTCTGTGTTATTTAAGTGCGAAATACTAGAATTGATTGCAAAATAATGACAAGAGAATCACAACAACAACAAAGCGGTGTGGAATTGCCAGATGTTGGACCCGACAGTGTTGCCACCCATGTGTGAAGTGACTGATAACGTAACTGTTAATTTTCAGTGAAGTTTTTACATATGCTTTATATTAACTTTATAAACATACACATTGTTTACAAAAAGAATATCAATATATCGACGATATTTCCTTATTTACTGACATTTCTTAGTATTTAAAATTTTTTTTGCTAACTTTTTTAAATTTGTTACATAGTTGTGACTGGTACTGTTTCCTTGTTGTTATGCATAAGGTGGCATCTCTGGAGCAAAGATTTTTATGAATTTTGGGGTGTGCACACACTGACATTTGGTGGCTGCCACTTTTTTTTGAGAACTGAGCTGCATATTTTTGTTTTGTCGTAATAATATCAGAAGTGCTCGGTTAAAATTCAAGTGTTAGACGCGCTGTACGGTCGGTAATCAACGGGTAATTGATTAGCGTAGTTAAAAAGCGGAGAGACCTAGGTGGAAGACAAGAAACGTCGGGCCAATTAGCGAAATTGCCCTGCGAATTGCGCAAATGGCTAATGGAACTTTCGGACAACTTGGGTTAAACTGAAGGCCAAGGATCCATAAAAGACATCACGATGGACGACCTGTCGCAGGGCGACATTTGCCGGGTGTGCAGATGCGAGGCGCAACCGGATAGGCCTTTATTTTACCCGTGCATTTGCACGGGATCAATCAAGTATATTCACCAGGACTGTCTCATGCAATGGATGCGCTACTCGCACAAAGAATACTGCGAACTATGCGGCTACCGCTTCAGTTTTCAGCCGATCTATGCCCCGGATATGCCCCGTGTCCTGCCACTGAAGGACGTCCTCGTTGGTCTGATGTCAGCGGTTTTGGAGGGCGCCCGCTGCTGGTTGCACTACTCTCTGGTGGGCATGGCCTGGTTTGGAGTGGTCCCGCTGTCCGCCTACAGAACCTACCGGTATCTGTTCCGGGCCAGCTCCTTTGACATGATTCTCACGCTGCCTTTCGACATTTTCTCCATGGAAAACCTGGCGGCTGACGCATTTCGCGGCTGTTTTGTGGTCACGTGTACGCTTTTATCCTTCATAGGATTGGTCTGGCTGCGCGAGCAGATCCTCCACGGCGGCGGGCCCGATTGGCTGGAGCGGGACGACGCTCCCCTGCAGGCCGCAGCTGCTAATCCTGCGCCTGCTCCCGCTGCAGAAGCGGCTCCTTTGCCCCAGGACGACAACAACAACGGTGATGCACCGCAAGATGTGCCTATGGATAACGAAGCTCCTGCACCGGCTGACAACGAGGCACAGGATGCACAAGCCCGGGAAGCAGCTCCTGCAGCTCCAGCTGCCGCCGTGGACGCCGATGCTGACGAGCCGAATTGGAATCCCATGGAGTGGGATCGTGCCGCCGAGGAACTTACTTGGGAACGTCTTCTCGGCCTTGATGGCTCGCTGGTTTTCCTGGAGCACGTCTTCTGGATCATCTCTCTGAACACAATGTTCATCTTCACCTTCGCGTTTTGTCCGTACTGCGTGGGAAACTTTATCCTCAGCTCAATGGATCTTCTACAACCGGAGAAGCCACTGCTCCACTTTCACGGCCTGATTACCACTTTATTCGGCTACTGCTGTATAGGCCTGACCCTCGTAGTGCTGCACTTCTTCGCAAGGGTATTCCGTCTGCGCAGGGTTTGCTGGTTTATTGGACTTTGCTACATTGTGGTCAAAGTGTCACTTCTTTCTGTGGTGGAAATCGGAGTACTGCCCCTCATTTGCGGCTGGTGGCTGGACATCTGCTCGTTGCCCTTACTGGACGCCAGTCTTAAGGATCGCAAGGCCAGCTTTAAGGCGGCTCCTGGAACCTCCCTCTTCGTTCATTGGATGTTCGGCATGGTCTACGTTTACTACTTCGCTGCCTTTATCTCGCTGCTGAGAGAAGTTTTACGACCGGGAGTTCTCTGGATCTTCCGAAATGTCAACGATCCGGACTTCAGTCCAATCCAGGAGATGATCCATGTGCCCATTGTACGTCACATCCGTCGTCTGGTTGCTTCGGCCATGATCTTCGGTTTCGCCGTACTTTTGATGCTTTGGTTGCCGATTAGGATACTGCAGGTGGCATGGCCGAATTTCTTGCCGTATGCTCTGAGCGGCGATGCTGAGGTCAATGATCTTAGTTTGCAACTACTGCTTCTGCAGGTGAGTTAATGGCTTATTGCCCTTATTCTCTTATCGTGACGCGCTTTTATTTCTTATTTCAGATTGTTTTACCTGGGTTCTTTGAGCAAACCCAGACGCGTATCTGGCTAAAGGGATTACTTCGCATTTGGTGCACAGCGGTGGCTTGGATGCTTGGCATTCGGAGCTACCTTCTGCCGGCACCGGAACCGGAGCCCGAAAACACGGCGGCTGGCGAAGAAGGCGTAGAGAATGCGGCTGGCGAAAATGGCAACCAAGAGGTAGAAGGAGAGGCAGCCGCTGCACCACCGCCACCGCCGCCTCCACCGCCACCACCAGCAGAACCGGCACCTGCACCGCGGAACCTTGCCGCCGCCCATCAGGCCATTATGCAAAGAGATGCTCCAGTCGGATTTCAACCGTACGACAAGCCCTCGCTGTTCGCCTTTCGTCTGTGCGCCCTCTTGTCACTTATGTGCTTGTCCATCGTTTGCGCAGCCATGTTGACACTCACGGTCCCCGTTTACATTGGGCGACGGCTGATGATGCTCTGGACCGGCCAGCCGGGTGAGAAGGCAGCGGGAGCGGCAGCTGCAGCAGGAGCAGCGGGAGTGGCTGCAAATCTAGCGCCAGTCGATCCAGAGGGTGCCAGAAAGAACGAGCGGCTTCTGCGATCACACGAACTATACACAGCTGAGATTGGCGGTTACCTGTGCTGGATTGTTTGCCGGGGAGTGGCCGTTGTGGTCACCTTGCTGCCCCAGGGACGAGCGGCTATTGTCAGTAAGCTGAAGCACTGGGCCCGAGTGGCTCTGCAATATGCCCTGCCGGTGCTAACGCTCCTCGGAATCTTTGTGTTGGTCCCTCTGCTGTTTGGACTACTGTTGGAACTGGTGGTGGTCATCCCCCTACGGGTGCCGTTGCGCAAGACACCCATACATTTCCTGTGGCAGGATTGGGCCCTTGGAGTGCTTTACAGTAAGATAGCCATCGCCTTGACTTTGATGGGTCCGGATTGGCATTTAAAGCGAGCTCTGGAGCGAGCCTACATGGATGGACTGCGCGATTTTGACTTGAAGTTTGTGATGAGGGACTTGGCGGTGCCGGTGGTTACCACTTTTGGCCTGGCTTTGGCCGTTCCCTATGTAATGGCCCACATGGTGTTTCCGATTTTCCTAGCCGACGCCTATGCGCGGCATGCCGTGACCCGACTCGTGTATCCTGTTAGCTTCATCGTGGTGGGCAGCATCTGCTTCGTTTTGTTCCAGATCAAGCAGCTTAAGAAGCTTTACCTGTCAATCAAGGTGGACAAATATCTGGTGGGCCAGCGACTGGTCAACTACGAGCACCGCAAGAAGCAGCAGCAACAGCAGCAACAACAGGAGGAGGAGGAACAGCAGCGGGCGGCCAGGGAGCTAAAGGAGAACCAGGAGAGGGACCGCGAGCGGGTACGGGAGCAGCTGGTCCAGGAGCAGGAGTTGGCTGAGCTTCTGTAACGAGATCAGGTGCGAATTCGGGGTTATTATCTGCAAAAGATTGGGGAAACAACTGGTTTATATTTTTATTCAGGTTTTAAGATTTTTAAATTGAAAACAAAATTGTTAAAGTTAACTCGTCGAATCGGTAAAGAAGTTTTCGTATTTTCACACTAATTTATTATATTATCATTTCATTTGTAAAAATTGTGCAAAGGGGAACTTTTAAATGGTTTTTTTATGGACTCCAAATTCAAAGATACTAATTTAACTGTGTATTAAAAGAGCATACGAAAAAAGATCTTAAACCATTCAGAATAAAGGATTTCCATTTTTTTATTTAAAGATTTTTATTTCAACCCGACAAGGAGGATGCCACGAGAAGCTATCCTGCGCTTTTTCATCGCCAAGCTGCTCCTGCTGCTGATATATATCGGTCTAGTATCTGCTGCCCTGCCAAAACGGATGGTTTGAAAAATTTCGAGTGAAATAAACCTACTTTACCCTCGCTTCGTTCCTTTCCCCCACTTTAGTTAACTTTCGTTATATATTAAAAATGTGTTAGCTTCAATTGTTGTTAAATCCCTAACCCTATACCGCTTATAGAGCCTAAGTTGTATGATATTTTAAGGCAGTCAGACAAAAACCTGCGCAATGTCAGTGATTTTAAATTGATTAATCCATTGACAGTGTTGAAACCTTGTATTAGAGCCGTATGCAGAAACTATATTTCAAAATTGTCAACCGAGCAAAAATTCTAAAGACCCTGAAGTAAACTAAATCCAAATCCAACATGGTAAAAGTGGTGAAAATAAACGGATAGTGGAAAAGAAAAAAAAAAAACATTTTCGAGCTAGCTTTACGAACTGTAAAAATTATATATGTATACATTATAAATATAACTGATTTAAAATTAATTAATAAATTTAACTTTAAAATTCAAAAGGAAATATAATGGTTTTAATAAGGGAAGTTACTTCGAGAAGACGTATAGGAATATTAAATTCCGAAAAAACATGATCAGATTACAACTTTTATATTTCTTTCTACTACATTTCAGAGGAAAAATACACCACGTGGAACCATATTAATCTTGACGAGAACTGTGCGAAAAAGGTAACTCAAGGGCAAAATAATTATTGAAGCGAATGCAACGATTGAGACATCTGTTGTGCCAAGTCGAAAGGCACAAGAAATATAAACAGACAATTAATCAACGTCCAAACATATTAAATGAAGCACCATAATGTAAGTGGAGTCAATGGATGAGCGGTTCGCTCAAGTGAGCTAATCATTGAATTCGTAGCGAGCTGGAAGGGCGATGTCAATCATACGCCCTGTGTGCCATCGGCAATTGACAGACACGAGTCTCGCCCACGAGGCGTATGAGGGATGACCGGTCGCTTGTGAAGAGAATCCAGGATGTTGCCCCAAAAATTCCTAATCAAAAAAATAGCTCAAAAGTTGTCCGTTTCCCCTCGAAACTTTTGGCTGTTGCGAATTTGTTGCTGCGACAAATAGAAAAGTTTCCAATGTTTGTAACTTAAATTGTTTTGTGGTTCGACATGGCCACGACCGCCCCGTCCCACACAGAAAGCAAAGTGGCTTATGTGCCGTGGCTATTAAAATGTATGGCAGGTCCACATCCCAGTCCCTTTCCCGACTTTACCAAATTAAACACTTACCAAAGTTGCAGAGGGACGAGTCGCAGAGATAAACAAATAATAAAATGAAATCAAATAATTTGCATTATGTCAAAGTTGAAAGTTGCTGAAACATTTTACTTGCCAGCGCGTGCTTAAGTAGAGGGCAAACCAAATGGGAATAAATGGGGGGCAAGGCATTTATAAAGTCGGCAAAACTTCGGCGCGTGTTGGAGTGACCCACGCTTGGATCCGGATAGTGGCATCCTTTGCCGAGATTTCCTTGTACTCAAGAGCGAAAGGTTTATTCGCGGTTCAATGAACCAAATGCTAAATATAAGTCTGTGGAACAGAATAAACTTTAATTAGAGACCCCATCGATTGGCACTAAATAACTCGAATTGAGATGATTTATTTGAAAGCCAAGGCAGAAAGAAAATGTCACTGGGGATTTTTGTTGTATGACTAGTTTATTACTTTCTTTTTTCAAGAAACTGTAAAATGGTTTTAGAGTGGGTACTGGCAAGGAAAAGTATTTATTAAAATAAGTTTTAATCCAAAAACTTTTTATTATATATTTTAATAAATAATGCGTAACATTTCTTTATGTATATTTGTTCTGTGTAGCCTTTGAAATAACTCAAGTTGCTTGATTTCCAGCCGGAGGAAATAGTTCATTGAGCTGAATAGCTGTTTTGCAAATACTTTTAATTGGATTTCCAACTATGCGAGTGCATCGCAGAAAGAACGAGGATGCTGCTTACATACACGACTTACCTACATAAATCAATAGCCCTCTCCATCTTATCACGTCGGTGGGCTATTAATAAAATCCACCATAACTCACAACATTCAGTAGTCTGGCGGAGATGAAAACAATGCACTTTTATGACTCTATTAAAAGACCATAAAAATATAAATTACGTTTTGATGGCAATCGTTGACTTTGGTCCAGCCCCTTGGCTGTAAGCTGATTTCGGGCTTAAAGTTGTTGCCACATTAATGCTTTCTTTTTTGGGGCACAAATTCCTAAAGGACCACAGCAAATGCCACAAAATGCCAGCAGCCAGACAAATAAAGTTTTGAAATTGTTGAATGGTTGGGCAAACAAAGCTCTCGCCACTCCAGCGGCAAACACACAACACTTGCCAACTGCTGCCTATCAATTTATTTAGAATTTCATTTGAATATTTAAGCCGTCTCGCTCTCAACCATGGTTGATCTCTATTTGACCATTATGCAAAGGGGGAATAATATTTGATTACTTTTAATAATGTAAACAGCAAATGTCGAGATGTGGCTAATTTGAAATGTGGTTGCGCTCGAAAATGTGTTACTGATTTCGTTTTTGTCCATTTGGCATTTCAACTTTTCTATTATTGGATTTCCACGAAACCCTTTTAACTGCAAGTGAATGAACAATTGCTTAAAATGTACAATTCCAACTAATTTCCTAAATTTAAAATTACGTTAACAAAATGTACACCCCATTATTGTTCGCTAAGAGGTAAGTTCTTTATTGCATTAGTCATTTTAACTTCCTTTCATTGTGATTTATTTATTATGAGCTTGCCCTGTTCCCCTAATATGCACTCGGATTTCCGCGGCTGATTTTAATTACCGCTCTCATGGTATCAAGTTTATTTGGCAGCCTCCCACAAGGGAACATTAGGAAACCCAAAAGTTGAAGCATAAAAGAGTACATATGAAGATGTCAGCCACTCTTGTCAACAACTCTTGTCAAGTCACATTTTTTATGTTTTCCGCTTTTTCATCTTGAACTCTGTGCTTTGTTGCTGCTGGAAATTAACAACTTCATATGTCAGCCGTGATAACTTCATACTCCTTCAAGGGGATGTGCATACATATATATTCGTGGAGCAGCTTACGCGGCTTTATCATTTGTCGCGCATTACGGGGCGTATGCGTAATGTGTGGCAGGGAGAGGACCTTAAGCGGAGCTCATTTGCATGAATTGTTCCGCAGCTTGTTATTGTTGCGCTGCTGGTGTTTGTTGTTGCTTCCGCTTGAGGCTCTTATCAAGCATAACCAACACTTCATAAATTGTCTAAAATTAGCCATAAAACAAAGCAAACAACCGGGCCAAGTTGTTGTTGTTGTTTCGGGTGCAGCAAACTGAAGAGTGTAGCAATCTGTACCTCCCACAGCCTCTTGCCCCGACTACTTGACACCCGCTTCAGGCTCGTTATGCTTTATTATGGCCATCTCCTCCCGCAACCCCCGGCCATGGCAACTATATATCCGAAGGTATTCCAGGGCCGGGGTACAAAAATATGTCTGTTTTGGTTGCCACACTCGGTCGCTTAAGTGGCCTTTTGATTCCCGTTGCCATAATTTGTTATTTTTCCAACGCAAAATAAAATAAATCGTGTAAAAGCATTGCCCATGGAAACATGAGGGGGTCAGTTCTAAAAATCGGAAAATAGTTAATAACCGAGGAACGAAAACAAAAACAGAAATTCAGAACGAAAGTTGGGACCCAGCTGAATTCCCTAAGAATAAAGTCAAATAAATTGTGGTTAAGATTAAGGCTTGCAAAATATAAATAGAATTTTTTTTGTTATATTCAAAGCCAATAGGAAGTCATAAGATATCTTTATATACATTTTTATTTTTGAGGAAGCATTTATTATCCTTTGAACAGCCAAATTTAATAGGGTTTTTTAATAGTGAACATAAAAGTTTTGGGCAATAAAAAACAGCCCTTGGCCTTCAAATCCTTCCTAATCAATAATTGTATGTAATATATATGCATGTTCTGCTACAGCTAATAAATACTTTTTATGTCGTTTCATGGTCTCTGCTATTATAAATATACCTTAAGTAAACCACTAAAAGGAAAGGTGCTCTGGGATAAACAAAGGAGATTCAGGATACCCAAGCGTATTTATTTACTTTCTGGGTTTCGGCCAACCACAACAATAGGGGAAAAAAACACGATACCCAACCCAAGTTTTTACGCCACTTTAAAGGTACATAAAAAAATCCTTCCGCATTCGACTTTGTCGGGGTTAAAGTTTGAAGTTCGTGGGTGTTACTTTTTATGGCCTGCAGCCGTTGGCAGCGTCTGATTGAGCGTGAAGTTGTAAAACTTAAGGAGTGCTAAGTGCCCCGTGGACCGACTGCAGCCCCTCCCCAGGATTATGGCCAATAAAGCACGCATGTCGGCGCCAGAGCTCGCCTGGGCTGAAAAAAATTAAATATGCCTCTTTCGGGGCTTCCTAGATGGGACATTAGGAAGGTGTGCTCGTGGACAGTGTCCACTACAAAAGGAAGGGGCAGATTTATGAGCTGGCCGGGCTTGGGTGAGTGGTAACAAGATGGAGAGATTAACCCGACTTACGGGCCACTTGTTCCGGTACCTTGTAAGCTCGTTTTTTAAGGTTGACCATAACTTTAACCGGTTAATAGGGAGTCTGTGAGAAGGCCAAACAATCCCTTCTCCGCTTCGGGTCGACACTTTTGAACATTAAATATAAAAACTTTATCTTTCAAGGGACACTGCGACCCTTGCGAATTATTAACTTAAATGTATAAAAAACAGGAAGTCCCTGGACAATTATAGCACTTTTTTTGGAACACTCATAGGAGTGTTTAAGATTTATTTATTTGAGTGTATAAAAACAAAGAGAAATAATATATTTTTTTATAAAAAAATAAATGACACTTTGAAATTTTTTATTAAAACACTTCACAAATACCTGAATAAATTATAATAATCAGTTTCAGTTGTTTCATATGCATATATTTTTTGCTCTTCTCTGGCAAACTTATAAAACTGCTGATCCCCATAAATCGGGAATGACGACCCAATAAAATAAACTAAGTCATCGGAACAACATCTGCTTCATGTGGGCGAAAACTGATTTTTCATATCCACATGTTTCCAATGCCCATCTTGACTTATTTGTGCCCATCAAATGAAGCTGCAAGAGCATCATATGTAAATTCAATATGTAAATTGGCAAATATAAACGTATCAATGGATATTTTGTGTGGACATGCAATAAATACTAAAGCCATACACACAGCGAGCAAAATGCAGTCGAATTATTTGCGGAGCGAGAAATGGAAAACGAGCAAAAGTTTAATAAGGGCTCCAGATGTTTTTTCGTTATTATTGCGACTGGGTCACGCACTTTTTTCGCTTTTAGCCACGGACAAAGCGACGCCTCTCTGGAAGCCATAAAATTCGCACACATATAGCCTGTATTCACCGAATAGTCTGGCGTCTGGATGTAAGCATACTTTTTATGCAAAACGAATCAAAATCCAATTATAAAGCGAGCGAGTGTGTGTGGCGTTGGCTGGGTGGGGTGGGCAGGAGGTACAGGGGGCGGGGCCAAAGGACAAGTACCGCCAACTGCAGCCCAAAAACCAACAACAACGCTTGGTCAGGCGGTAATGAAAAATTCAATTTGGTAAACAAAAGACGTAGCGAGAATGCGATTTTATGAACAAGCGTCCATATGTGAGTGTAAATGCAACCATACGCGCTATTACACAGAGGAAAAAATACTAATGGTTGTCTAAAGGAATGTGAAAAATACTGTAATATTCTGTATACATTAAAACAATGTCTTTGCTTTTGTGAATTTTTTGTTTTTAATTTGGTTTTATAGTTGGCTATTATTATTAATATTAATATTGAATTATAAAATTAGTTTGTAGTATGTTTTTCAGTGCATGCATGAATATGTGCTATATGCACGCGTTTTGTCGGCGCCAAAAACTTGGTGGGGCCTCTGACTAGGCAACAATAAAGCTCATTTGCATTTGCCACTCGTGAAAGAAAACGGTGCGGCACCCTGAACGGCAATTTAAATGGTTTCTGCAAATATTTAGCAAGCCACAATAATGCAATAAATTGTTGGCTTAAAAATACAAACAAACCACGAACATAAATCCAAATTTGAATGAAATGAAACAATTTAAGGATTCTAGCAATCCTTTTCCAAAACACTTCCATTGATATTTAAGGAATTCTGAAACAATACAATATTATAGCTTCGTATAATTTATAACATGGCACATGGAATAAATGATTAGAAACAAACTTAAAATGTAACATGATAATCGAAAAGTTATTCCCAAAGGAGCACAGAATGCGTAATCATCAGAAAAACGGAGCAGATGAGGAGGGTGGCGATCATGATGGGAAATCCGATCACGAAGAATTTCCGGAAGCTAATCTTGTAGCCGTATTCCTTGGCGATCTCCGCGACGATCTCGTTGCACAAGGAGCCCAGCAGGCCCCCGTTGGCGCCGTAGCTGGTGCCGAGGGTCGCGGCCCAAATGAGTGGCAGCAGCGGGAGCACAACCCGGTCACGATAAGCCATCTCGATGCAGAGCTTCACCATGATGGTGGCCACCGCCGCGTTCTCGATGAAGGCGGAGAGCAGGCTCGACAGCCAGAGGATAATGAGAATGCCTATCATTGTCCGGTGCTGCTCGGCCACGGTCCTGACCGCGGACACCGCATGCTGGCCCAGCCACTCGATCAAGCCCAGTTCGGCGACCACCTCGGTGAGAACGAACATGGAGGCCAGATAGAGCAGGATGGACCATTTGACGCGGGCCAGAATGGGACGTAGATCCCGCCTGTCGGCCAGGATGAGCAGCAGGAAGGCGGCCAGGATGGAGATCCAGCCCAGGGTGGCACCCGGAATAATCCACGGGACCGAATGCATCAAGAAGCAGCTGGAGGCGAAGCCGAAAGCCAGGAACGAGTGCCCCAGCAGCCACTTATTCCGGATCCAATGGTTCGTCTCCAAGTTGGCCAGCGTCTCGTAGTAGTTGTCCACCGGGTGGACCCAGCACCTTGTCGACTGCCTCGCCCTCAGCTCGTCAATCCTCTGCTGGACTTCGGTCGGGGTTCTCTTCCCGTTTTGCCGTTTTCTCATCAACCCCAGCTGGTTCGCGTCCAGCACGAAGATTCTCCTGCCCATGGTCATGTAGAGAAGGCCGAAGACGAGCAGCAGGCAAATCACCGCCACCGGCAGCATGCGCATGGTCATGTTGATGAAGGTGAAGCCGGCCTGGGCCACCACCGGGTTGCTGGCTATAATGGCAGAAGGGGGTCCTGCCACCGGGGTCAAGGATCCCCCGATGTTGGTAAACAGCAACAGGATGATCAGAACCAGGACGGTGTTGACGGCCATGACCTCGCACAGCCGAATGACCGCCGGACTGAAGAGCAACGCCATGGCGGTGTTGTCCATTATTACCGAGCTCCCGGCGACCAGCAATCCCAAGAAGGCGATCATCAGCCAGGCGTGGCCCCGGGAAATACGATAGGCCACCACGGCCATGTACTCGAAGAAGCCCGTCTCCGACACCAGGTTCATGATGATCATGTGTCCCAGCAGGAGCATCATTGCGTCGAAGTTCACCCAGGAGATTATCGTCTCGATGGAGGGTCTGTGCCCCAGGACCGTGAGGATGGCCAGTCCCGCACTGGTTATGAGGAGGGTGCACAGCGTTCGGTCCGCCAGCTCCCAAATGATCACCACGTAGAGGCTGACGATCAGGATGGCCGCGTACATCACGCCCAGCTGCGTGACCATCGGCATGGTGTCCACCGTCATGTGCAGGCCCACTGGCTCTCTGCTCATGCTCTCCACGGAGACGAACGTCTGGGCAAAGGCCCACTCATCGGGGCTGATTGCTCCCTCCTTCCCCTTCTGCCCAGCGTGCTTAGCCCGCGCCTTTCCCTGGTACCATCCCGATAGCGAAAAGTGGAACACCCTCTTGACTTCCTGGTAGCTTCGCTTGTCGTGCAAGAGATACACGTTCCACTTGGAGCTGCGTAGGTAGGTGATGTTCGTCTCGGGATGGCGCAACTCCAGGCGCACTGCCACTGATGGAAAGCCGGACCCCTTAACGAGTTGATTCGTGAGATAATCATTTATGGCTCCGCGCAGGATGATCTTAACGGACTCGATCTTCGGTTTGACACTCCTGAAGACCGTCTGGTTGGGCAGCACGGTCACCAACGTGTCGGTGACCTCATGGGAACCGTGGGTCACCAGCACGACTGTGAAAGCTATCCAGAGTGCCACCAGGACTGTAAGTTTGATGATCAAAAGAACGTAGTCCTTTGTGGTCTCCGGTTCCGGACTTTCCACCCTCTTGCGATTAGTCGGAATTGGATTCAACATTTTCAGTCTACACGGATGGAGCTCTATTCAAGGTATGATATTACAGTTTGAAGTATAAGTCAAATTTCTATATCAGATAGATCTTACAACATGTTTTATTTTTTAATTATATAATATTACAAAGAGGTGATACTAAGATGATAATAATTTTAATTATATTTTCTTTAACAACAAAAGGGCAACGGCTATTAAAACAATGCTTTCCATTTATTTAGTATCGCCCACAGAAAATTGGTCTAGGCACTCTTTAAATTATTCATTTTGTTCCGCAACATTTCTTTTGTTTATCTTCTAAGTATACAAAAACACTAAAACCCACATAAAACCGGTGTATAAAAGCATTTTAATGCTGTAGTCAGCAATAAACGAAGTAACTTTAATTGCCTTTTACCTTAGAATGGCTTTTACTCGTTTAATAAAAACATAGTTAAAGAGGCAGAGATTCCTTGGTTTCCTTCATTTTAATTTTCTGCACTTTTCTGTTTGGCCAAAGCAGAAATTGTGGCAACAGCTGCTGACCGCCCAACTTGCTTTTGATATGTGGTCTGGCTAACTTAATAAGGGAACTCAAACCTTTTATGCCATGTAGATTCCCATCAAGACATCTTGTGGGTACTAAGGATAAAGTTGCAAAAATGCTGAGAGGAGAGCTTGGCTCAGACTAAGTAGGCCAAAGTAGGTGAAAGCCATTTTCCCAGCTGACCATCAAAAATGTAGCCATGATATGTGAGATGTGGGACGAGAAGCAGAAAACGTTGCAATGCAAACTTTTTAATAAAGCCACAAAATGGAAGGAGAAAGGAAATCCAGCATTCAGCAGAGACATGGGATTGTTCTGTGGAAATGGACAAAACAATATTTGATGCATGACAAATCTGGAAAAATTTTTGTTATTTCTGCCGCTGCTATTTACACAGAAACTTTTATGGCCAAACAATGGGTGTCATTCAAGGGGGTTAGTCAGGCGTGAGAGTTCTGGAAATATGTAGATTATTCCCAGGCGGTGTGCAATGGGAAATCCTTAATTTTTGTAGCGATTTCACTTGAAAATGTTCCATTTAAGCCGGCTAAGTTTCCATTTTCCCCTTCCTGCTGCGCTTCCTCTTATAATCCACTCCAGCTTTCCCCACAATTTTCCGCCAACCACATAAATCTAAATCAGCTCTCTCAATCTGGCCATGCACGTGCCACAGATGTGTGAAGTCCCGTCGGCAATCTGCAAGCATTTCCCCACTTCATTCGCTCTGTGTTTTCATTTTTCAATTTCAATGTACCAGTGAGGTGACATCAACTTTAAATGGCAGCGTGGTTAATTGGAAATGAAGTGCAATACAGACTGTCTGAGATCCGCTTCAAAAGGCAGGCAGCGTAATGGAAATGGTCACTGACCCATGCAGGTGTTCGTTGCCTAGGCAATTAAACATGGCTTTCACATACCCGCAGTAACAGCACATTAATTTGTATGACTGAATTGCGTCTGGGGTTTTTCACAAATGCATGGGTGAGAATTTGCTACACTGGCAGAAAGGTAATCCAATAAATATTATGTTTATTGGTAAGTTCTGTAGCAGTTTATAATAAAATCACTGAAGAATAATTCAATGTCAAGGATTTTTTTGAATCCATTTCGGTCTTTGCATTTGTTCGCACTGTAGAGACTTCATTTTATGCCAGCATTTTATGCAATTTCTAGCCTAGTTTTCGGAACTTTATGCCTTGGGCTGATATTCTCCTGCACCATATGATGTCGTCGCCTAATTAGTCAAACAGAACGAGTAGGAGCAGGGTGGCTCGCCTATTTCCAAATATTCTGACCCTAAGCATCGCACAAATGTTGTCACCCCGGAGTCTCAACCGAATGTCGACAGCTGGCATAGCAAACCCGAAACGAGTTCGAGTACGAGGACCGAGAACCGAGAACACCAAACCAAAAACAAGATGACTGTCGGGTCGACACTTTGACAGTTGCCCCGTTGCTGGCAATTCGCACGGGTCACGCCCACATTGTGTCTGTGTGTGTACTACACTGCGAGCATAATAAGAAGATCCGTGTGTGGCAAACGAACAAAAATACCCTTCAAAGGGATCGTTTATGTGGGTAAAGAATCCATTATATTCTGTTTTTAGTTCTGAAGTAAGTTCCTAGTAGGTAAATTTAAGTTTACAATTAGATGGTTTTAATTTACATTTAATTTCAGTGAAATTTTCATTAGCCTTTTACATATAATATGTTGATTGATCCAACTTAAAGGTTGTTATAGGCTTTAATTTCTCAAAGATACCCTCTCACTAGTTCTATATTCAATTTTTATATTTTATTGCGGTATCGCCTAGTTGAAACCGCTTTATCCCTTACTTTTCCTAGGGTATTCTATGTTTTGCCAACCAAATTACCTTCCGCCACCCATTATGTGATTGCGTGGGCCGCTTCTCCACCGAAGGTGGCCAAAGTATCAACCTGAAGCGGTCGGAACGGGCATAAGAATGGCTTAGGATCCTTCCAGGAGCTCATTACTAAATACCACGATGCAGCGCCAGTAGCAGCTGCCGGTAAACGCCTTTGAAGTCGACGGCTCAGTGGAGCTGAGGAATGCCAGGACCCAAGGCCCCAAGGATCCGAGGTGCAGATGGGGATGAACGAAGGTCACGGTTTCGGTGGCATAAGTGGGCTTATTTGAATTTATTGTGGGAATTGCAGGCGCCCAGAGTTTTAATGTGGGCGTTGCGCATGAGGCTCGGATCAAAAACAATAATTTACTTGATTTCACTTTCGTTGCTCGAAAGTTCAAGGGGCGTGGCTCACGGCTCAAATTGTCTGGAATTAGTGTGGGAAATTGGTGGGGATTATTATTCGGGGCCGACACCCTTGACTAATTGCCATTCGCTGGCATTAGCTAATGAAAAGTTTGCCAATTCAGACGAAAACAGGATAAAAGAGCTGAAACCGTTCGCCTGTAAACTTATTTAATTTGCGGGAATATGCAAAACGTACCTGTAGTCCCAAGAAATTTGAGTATCGAAAATTGGCAAAGTTCGGATTGATGTATCGCTGTAATAAATTCTAAAAAATTCTATAGAACATCGGTTTACTCTGGGCTATAACATATGGCCCTTCAGCAATTCTGAACAACTCTTCAACTCGCTGACTGATTTATGAGCGCGTGTAAAGCGATTTTGTGTGAAAAAGTTGGGATGTAAAACTTTTCTGCCAGCATTATAAAGATGTTAATCCCAGTGACAAGTACCCCGCCCCCCGGCAGGATTATACCAACTCTTTATCCTGACGTCAGTCTGCCCAGAAGAATAGAATGCGAGCGAACTCCTCGACAACAAGTGCTCATAAATGCAAATTGTTGTTACGCAGTTGCGTCCATTTTATATGTGTAATACAATTGTTTCTATATTGTGGATTATGAAAATAAGAATGGCCATTTGCATAATTGATGTTTAAAATACGAACAGAGAATCAGAATAGACGAAGCGGCTTTAGCTGTCCTCTAATTGAAAAATAATACAAACTGGGGAGTGGGAAATTCCCGGATTCGTCCTGCCATTTTCCCGCTCCTCCTCAGTTGATCTGCTTGAGCTTTTCCGTAGGCCACCTACGTGTGGACGCTTGGCATTTCGTATGGCTTGCCTGCGGTGAAATTTTCATCTGGAAAAGAGAAAAGTGAGCGAAAAGCGAATAAGGGAAAGGCAGTCATTTGGCCATCGCATCCAACGTATTTCAACATTTACGTTGGTAATTAAATTTTATATCAACTGCCAGGCATCCCAGAGTAATTGCATTTGCCTGGTATATATAGAAACGTGCTCAATTTCGACCCTTTAAATAAGCAATTAAACGGTTATCGTAAGCCGCCTGGTCAAAAAATGGCCATCAAAATTCTGTTACAATTTAAAGAGAAACGTGTGCGACCACACATCACATATATTATGATCAAATTTTTGTGACATTCATGTTTAATTCAACCATTTTTTATATTTTATTTATAGGAATGTAAGTACTGAAATTTAATGTACAAAGGATAACATTTAAATCATTGAACTGTAAGTGTGTAGCCAACTTCGATTAAATTGAAGTATCATTTGATTGATTTCCGCTGATGTCATTATCCTGCCAACCATAATTTTATTTGCTAGCAGTTGTTTACAAAAATATTTAAAATTATTGCCACACGCCATTCACTGAGGATGACAAAGGACTCGTTAAATGCACGTTGCCTGATTAACTCGGCGGTAAATTATGAAAAAAACTTCGAATATTTAAACACGTGTCGAATAATAAAGCTTAATTCGTTTACCTCGAATAAAGGTTGCATTTGTTTACTTGGTGTTTAACTTTGTTGTTTTCCGTTAGATCTCACAAAATAAATACATAAAATCATGAACATGTACATTAAGCATTGAATAACGTTGAATAAATTATTTTGAATGTCAAACTGTGCTTTTGAAACTGACGAGTACTTTACTATAAGTAAAATCATTTGAAATTCATAAGATAACTTAAAACATAAGAATTTGTTTTGTTAAAAATTAAAAAAATAAAATTTGAAAATTAGAATTATATAATTATCGGGAAGGTTTTTACAGAGTGTATATATCATCAAAATTAAAAAGGCAGGGTATACTTCCAAAATTACATCTAAATCATTCCGATCTAATTAGCTCTGTGATTTTTTCGGATGATAAACACTAATTGGCATTTGAATAATGATATGCATGGGCCAGGCAAACTAAACAAATTGGATTAAGAGTGTAAAAAGTATAAAAATCCATTCAAATAGCGAAATAATATAAACTACTTTTTTATTCCAGAAAAATTTAAACAACATGTGGATTTAATTTCTCAATTTGGGAGCTTAGTTGACCCTTTTCGATTGTCCTTTCAGCGCCAAATATAAATTGGCTGCCTTTGTTTGGCTTAGTTTTTTTAGGCCCGTCATCATCATTAGAGGCAACCCATGTTTTTAGTCTAGCCGGTTGTCTCATTTGTTTTTGTTTCATTTTTTGTGTCGTTT